TACTCCACTAAGGCTCCTCCTTGTAAGAATTCTGAGCACGCAGACTGCTGCAGCATTGCCTCCACTGACTGATCAAACTGTTAATAACAACTGTTCAAATTCAGTCAAACTCATGCAGTGAGAAGTGCCATAATTGCAGAAGAAGCAGGTGCTTTTGACATTTTCCATTTTTGAAGCCTCTGCTCATTATATTCTGACAGGAGAAAACTTTATCACCACAGCATCTTGCACCTATTGTAACTACTTTCACTGCATTGACAATCACTGCGCTTTCACTCAGCTGGAATGACATTTAGTTTGACATGTAAATTCACATGTAACCACTATATATAAATCCCCTGTTTCTTGCTCCTGTCACGTTTTTACTCACTGTGGGCTCGTTTGTCGTTGCAATAAAAAGTCCTGCACCTCAGCGGAAACAGTACAACTATGAGAACTCCAAAATGTTTTCTGCCGGGTTCTTATGAGTTTCCGTACTTGTCTTCAGTCTGCTCTGTATAAGCACAGCCTGCAGTTCAGCCCAGACACTGAATATTTGTGACCCAACTGCTGGTCACAGCTGAGTCACTCCTGGCTTTACGGTTGCACCAAGGAGCGCAGCACCTTTTGTTTTTTAAAGAACATAATTAATGCAAACTGTTTATTTTTGGTAAGTTTTTCAACAAAACACAAATGTTTTTGATGAAATATAACATTTTAAGCAGAGATTTGGTTAATTTTCCCAATGGAGCTACATGTCGCAGATGATTAGCTCGTGGACCACTGGAGAGCTGAAAATCCAATGATTCTTTCTGTTTTAACAATTTCTAGCTCTAATTAATGGTGTCATTTTGCTGATTGTTTTACGATAACCTGCCTTTCAAACCCACTGGCAGGTTTTGGGTTACAGAGTGTTTACATTTACAGGCTGCTTTATGTCATCCGACTTCTGAATTTGAACCTAAAACACAATAAACACACACAAACTCACATAAAACAATAAATCTGTGACAACACAACATAAAATCCAGTGTAAGTGCAACCATTATCATGCCGCCCAGTCATCCACACCACTTGTAGAGATAAGAGTACAAAACACTCTCTTTTATTGATTGTGTTCATAGCGAAATTTCCATTTATTCCATCCATATTTTATTTTGAATTTGCCCAGTGCAGCGTACCAAAACAAGCACTCTCACACTCGAACCACTTTCCAAAACACGTACATCACCAACACCCACACCCATATGCATGCACATGCCAGGTTGCTGCAGCTCCGATCTGAGCGCCTCTCGCTCGTATCTCGCTGTATCTGAAATGCGATTTGACAGGTATTAGCTGCAGGCGCCCGGCTCCTGGACCAGGCAACTGACACGGCCGCTGCCACGGCATCCCGGCCGACGGCACCGTGCCAGCTGCCCCTAAAAGTCATCAGAATGGAATCACCTTATACACACAACGCACACACATGCACAACGAGACGAACACTATGACTCATTTAGTGGTAATAGCAGAGGAGAGCAAGGGCAGTTATGTTCCAGGGCGCTTGACGTAGATGTAATTTCCTCTGGCCATCTGTCATTTTCGAGTGCATTCGGTTTGTCCGGGTGTGAGCTCTACCCAGTTTACAGTATGTACACTTAATGTGGTCCAGTGAAAAGAACAACAGCGTGCACAGCAGTCTCTGGGGTTAATCAAAGGACTAACACAAACCCTCCTCATGGAGTTAAAACACACACACACACACACACACCTGACTCACTTTTTCCTTGAGCTCCTCCAGATCCATTTGGATTTGATTTGTCAGCTGGTGGAGTCACAGGAGGCCTTCGCTGATATCACCTGTCGTCAAGGAAGGGATTAGACACACAGGGAGAACACGGAGATGGAATGAAAACACAGCGGACAGGAAGAATCGTGAGGCAAAGAACGAAACCCAGAATTTGGGAGGGTTTGAAGTGAAGAAGTTCACAAGCCTCCGGTTTTCTGCTCCGATTACGTTCGGTCTATACTTTGATCTAACACTATTTAATTCCTTTAGGGTTGCAAGGCAAGATGGCTGTGTTTCTGTTGTGCCAACACCTTTGACTAGTTTGTGTGTGAATCAATAAGAGTGTGTCACACACAGAGGGAAACCTCGTCTGGTCTGTCAGACTGAGTATTGATGTTCTCTCTTCTGCTTCTCCCTTTTCCCGTTCACTTGTTCAACCCGCTGGATACAGACATAAAGGAAACAGGAGAAGAACTCTGTAACATAATGCAAACACGCCGTTGTCCAGACATCCTCTTTCCCCCAGTTTACATTTCCAAAAGCGCAACAGGAGCCCTAAGTCCCTATTTGCATCACGTCTGTTAAAAATATCTATGTTCTTGTAGGATTCCGACCATAAAAATACAGTTATTGGTTTGCAGAAGAAAACTGAGCTCAAAAACAATTTGATGTTTTCAACTTCAATGAGAGACAGTATGTTAATCACAGGTTTGAAAGGCATGTTATTTTGTAAAAACATCACCATTTATCATAGAAAGAAGCTGCAAAAAACAGAATCATCTGATTTTCAGCTTGAATGGTGACGTACCGTTCCATCAGGAAAATGATTAAAAGCAAAGCTTCAGATGGTGAAAAATGCTTTATTCCACATGTCTTACATAAAAATTCTCCAAAAATAAATCATTTGCACCAACCAGGCTGTGTAAAAGAAAGAAAAATCTGAGCTTCTCGATGCAGCCATGAAGCCATAAGTGACTCAGCTATGACCAACAGCCACATGACAAAAAATCTGGGACTTTTCGGCTGAACTGCAGGCTGTGTTTCCACGGGGCATGAATATGTAAATATCTGCAGCACGTACTAGTAGAGCCACTTTGTTTTTTCCAGGTATTGGTGACATGTGAGCACTTGGAATGTTGTACACGCTAATTGTACTTCCTTGCAAAGTGAATTGTACAAGAAATTCTTTAATGTTTTTTTTTTTGTTGTTGTTGTTTTTTTTATGACTTATGGCATTATAACTATGTTATGCTCCACATAAGAGGTTTCTCTACTTCTAGCCATAGTTTTGCTGTTTCCACAGAGGAGCAGGAGTTTATCTTGAGGTGACAAATGACAGTAGAAACTGCTTGGAGTTCAGAGGGTTAATGAGCTTTCAAGGTTCTGGTATTCTTATTTGTTTTCCCTATTTGGATGAAGCCAGGCCAGCTGTCTCCCCACTGACTTTAGGCTTCATGCTAAGCTAAGCTGAGTCCATCCTCATGTTAAACGGGAAAATATAAAAGTGATCATCCTCTCTAGTTCTTTGCAAGAAAGCAAATACGTGCGTTTTCCTTTGTTTTCTGTGGGCTTACTAGAGCTACATTAACACATTTGTTTGAACATTTCAACCAGTAAAAATCAGTGAAATTGTAATTCTGTCGCATTTCAGTTTGCTATTGATTGAAAAATGCAGAATATCACACATCTATCTGACTCCATTAGCGGTGAGCAGACAGGACCAGGAGGGGATGTTGGTCACAGGCATCGCAGGGTTTCTCTGACATTTGATTGTTCTGTTTTATTTCTCAGCGGACACTCCTCTAGCTGGGAGAGACACACTCACAGCGCCAGAGGAAAAGACAGAGATGCACACCAACACATTCTGCCTGTTTATTAAAACGGATTGACGTGTGCAGATAAGCAAAATGTGAAAAGTGCACAAACGATTTCCTATTCCTGCGCGAATGGCAACTAGGAGCATGAATATCGCTCGCTTCCTTTCGCTCTGCATGCATGAACGTTTGTGCCGTTTGCCTTTTCAGTCTGTTCCTTGGGGGTCTCGCTTCATTTGTGTTACATAACAATGGAAATGAAATAGTACTGTTACTGGTAGCAACATAGTATAAATGATTTAATAGCCCATAAACACTATGGGTGAAGTGAGACTCCTTGGCTTCGTATTAGGCTTCTCAGGGTTTGGGTCTCCATGGTAACAAATAAGAGCCTCCCTCAGAGCCTGTCATGGCTTTAAAAAAAAAACAATGAGGAGTGTGTGGTGTGTGCGTGTGTGTGTGTGTGTGTGTGTGTGTGTGTGTGTGTGGGAAGTGAGATAAATAGGGTAGGGTAGAGTGCCTTTGTTTTTTTTTTCTTCACAATTATCCATGAGTCATTGTAACTCCTCTCTGTCTTTCAGCTGTAACTCTGACCCTCTTTAATCTTATAGTTTTCGCCTTAATGATAAAGTGATTATTTATTATCAGAGGGGCCAGGGGGAGAAGGAATTGTTCACAGCGACGTGATGAACGCATACCGTCGCTGCTCTTTGTGTGCCGTCCCCATCCTCCCGTTTGTCAAATGCCATTTCCGAACATGAGTAGATTCCTAAGCGTGTTAATGAAACCGTGCGACCATGAATGCACAACTAAATGAAATTCATCGCTTTGATATGGATGTGATGCGTAATCGTGGATTGCAATGCTCGGTCGTATGTGAAGAGAAATGAACAGAAGTGCCACTGCTTCATCAGTATTCTGTGCATTTAGGCAATCGCTGGGTCTAACTCCCGACCATCATCACTCACCGTCGTTCCACCTGCTCTGCCGCTGAGGCTTCATCACACACACTCTGATTAGGTCATGAATGCAGGTTTTGTAGTGGCCTCTGTCAGCTGTTGGAGGTCCATAGAGAGAAAGAGCAGAGCAGTATTCGACAATGCTAGCTGTGGAGGCCCAGTCAGTTATACTGTTGGTAAAAATGAATTGTCTGGTGTGTTTTAATTGTTTGATATTGTAGGAAACACTCCGATTTTTGCCAAGAGTTGGACTCTCATGGCTGTACAGTGCGTATGGATTCTTCCACCCACAGCCAGCCAACCTAGCAGGTAGCCTGTCTCTGTCCAAACGTAAGAAAATCTCTCTGATTATAGCAACACGACTGCCAGCAGCAGCTAGCTTTGCTTAGCCGACTTGTCTTTTTTTTGCCCAAATTTCCTTGTGCTCTGCAGATAAATTGATTTCTTAACCTCTCCAAAATCTGCCGTCAGGTTTCAAATGCATAGCATTTTTTTAAAAACTGCCAAAATTGCACCATTTGCCGGAGTCAGAAATTGTGAAAACAGAAAGGATCATTGGAATTTCAACTTGCCAATGGTCCAATGAATGACTAATGTGTTCTGCACAGTTCCGTCTGTTTGTGGATTGTTAATTGAATTTCAGCTTAAAATTGTGATATTGTATCAAAATCACTTTATTCCACAGGTTTCGTGTAAAAAAAAATCACTAAAACTAACGTGTTTTCTTTGACAAGATTCTGTTAAAACACTGAAAAATTCTGCATTGCTTGACACAACCGAAAAGCTATTGGAGACTCAGCAGCAACGTGATAACATTTTGGGGACTTTTTGGCTGAACTGGGTTACAAATTCACTGTTTGTATGAACCCAATTCTGGAAAAAGAAAAGAAAAAATAAAAGAAACAATACTATGCTTCTTTGCACAACTGGGAAGCCATGACTACTTTAGCTGCGACTACCAGTCATGTGACAAAAAACTTTTCGGCTAAACTGCAGGATATGTTTCCAAAGAGCAGATAGAAGACAATGAATTTACAATCACAAAATCACTTTATTCTACATGTCTCATTTAAAACAGTTTCCTCTAAAACAATTCTGTTGAACACAAAAAAAATCTACTCTCCTAGATACAATCAAAAAACTATTAATGACAGAGCTAATTTTTTTCTTTTTTTAAAAACAAATCATAAAACATAACTTTTTCTTCTTTTTAAAAAAAATGTAGGTATTATAGTTATGTCATAATGCAAGACATTTTTAGGATTCTCTCTACTGCTGTTTCCGTAGTGGTGCAGAACTTTATGTTGCACTGAAAAATGAGCCCACAGTGAGTAAAATGTGGCCAAAAAAAGCCCAGAAACTCCTTGTGCTTCAGAGGGTTAAACAAACTACTTAGCTCTGTGCACCAAGTAACTGTTTGATGGGATACAAGGTGTCATCACGAGGAAGCGATAGGACGTCCTGTGTCGCCCCACAGAGTATTTAAAATGTGCAAAGCAAAGATTGGAGATGATGCTGACAACGTCTGACTGTGGCTTACAGGAGCAGCAGTGGTGCAGCCAGTGGGGCAGTAATGGAGCCCAAGCGAAGCAGCGCTGCAGGCGAACTCAGCACTCACACGCAAAGATATTAGTGTAGGTGTAGGAGAATGTTTATGAAGTAGGGCAACTCTGTCGGGGAAAATAAAGATGATGAGGAGCAAACACATCAGCAGGAAGAAGTGCTGTCATACAGACCGATTGAGATGGGAAGTTTGTTGGAGGAGCAGTGGAAGATTAAGATAAACTTTATAAGCTGCTGAAAAAGTAGGGGAACTTTTCTTTGCCTGTGATGCTAAGACAGTTGCACATTCATATGATAACTAAAGGGGGGAAATGACAAAAGATTTGCAAATATGAGATTCAGTCTTAACCCCTATAAACAATATGCAGACTGGCTGAGCGTAACAGGTATTTCTGCCTCAATTCTTGCATAAAGCAGGTCATGTAATGTTACCTAATGGCAAGAAAGTCACACGTGTAGGTTTTAATAAGAATAAACGTTACTCGAATAGCACCTTCAAGTAGAGCAGCTCCACATCACCATTAAACCAACAGCTATCGAGCCACGAAATTAGATTGCAAATTAACCTAACAGCTTTAAATATTGAGGTTAAGACCCTGCAGCCTGATTTGTGATTTAAATTTACCCGAGTATATTAAATATTAAAACTCTACAACATTATATAGAATGCAAATTTCCCTGATGAAATGTAATTGTCAGGTTAAGACCCTACAGTATTACTTATTATGGGGATTTATATGAATGAAATTATACATGGGAAACCAAATGAAGCCAAAGAATCCCTGAAGCACTTTACAATAAGGGAATAACATGGAAGTGCTTCACTTGAAAATACTCATAGGATGAAAATAAAAGCAGGAATAAGATGCCATAATTATTGTAACATATGGTTCATAATAAATCCCACTTTACAAGAATAATATAAATAAGATAATGATAGCTTCATGTAGAATCACTCCACTGAATAATAGAATTAATAAAGTTAAATATTAGATTAAAATACAGCAAGGTATACAGCGATTCCTCTTCTGTCATTACAGAAATTGATGCTTGTGTTATAAATAGGATGGAGGAGCTAATGTTGGACAACTATTAGGATGCATTAAGCTGTCACGAGTAGGTTTTTTCCTCCATTACAGCTTTAAAACAGATCAAAATTAACAAATAGACAGCAAACAAAATAATGACATCTGACACCATTAGCATGTGACGTGCAGCTGGATGTGGCCTTATTTGGCTGGTAAAACTGTATAACACCTGAGTGGCAAACGGGAAAGCGGTGCGGTTAAGATACAATAAGATGTCTGAACTGCTAAGCAGGAGTTTACTCAGCGGTATTTGAACTGCAGGCCTGTAAATGTTGGGCCCGGTTATATGACTGAGGCGGTGTCTGGTGTTGAGATTGTGTGTGGAGGCTGGTGACACTTTTTTTTTTTTTTTTTTTAATCTGAACCTGCAGATCATATTAAACTGAGCGTTTCATTTGAAATACTGATCAGCTGCTTGGAATCCAGATCATCAATCCTGACTCATGTCCTCTGCAGTCGCTGTTTTTCTATTACTGCAGACTGTGAGAGATGCCCAGCGTGAATTCTGGCACAAGCGATTTTTACATTACATCCACTGCTGTTCAGACACATGGAAGAAGAAAGTTTAGAGTGACACATGGACAGTAGAGACAGATGGAGAGAGAGAAAATAAGCATGTGGTAAAGAGAAGCACACTGCTCTCGTTTAAATTAATCCTCAAATGGACATGAGGGAGGAGGTGGATGGCTATTATCCTCCAGGGCGTTTTTATTAGTGTTCCTTAATGTGGTCTTCATCCACCTTGGTTTGGAGAACCTTTTAAATCCAATTTCACTGCACTCACGCTTCTTAATTTCTCGGCTTACACCTAATAGTATACCACTGGTACACTTTTCCGTTATAGATATTTATGAGTGTGTTTTTTTTTTTTTTCCTTTTAGCTGGGAGAAACACAACAAATGACGAGCTGGAGAGCATGTTAGAGAGCGACAACCCAGCTATCTTTACCTCGGGGGTAAGTGACACAACAAATGCAGCATGAATGCACATGTAAATCATGTCTTTAATCGAATTTTTTCCTCCTCTCCAAATCTCTGGTTTTGTTACACCTTCTCAGATAATTATGGACAACATCACCCAGCAAGCGATGAATGAGATTGAGACGCGGCACAATGAGATTATCAAGCTGGAAAACAGCATCAGAGAGCTTCACGACATGTTCATGGACATGGCCATGCTGGTGGAGAGCCAGGTGAAAACACTGATCCTCTCTCTTTCTCGCTTCCCACAGCTGTGTGGTTTGGGACTCAGCCAAACGCATGCAAATGAAGCAAACCTGAAAATGCTAAATACACCTCTACGCTGACAGTCCATCTGCAAAATGCGAACAGATTTGCGGTTTCTACATCCAGAATTGTGATTTGAAAAGGTGTTCTGGCTACTGCAGAGGTTCAGTAGCAGACTACTGTATGTGCACAATCGTGAAATCATTAACCAGCTAAGCATGGCGCAGCAGCTGCTACTTCTCCCCATTAGAACTCAAGTATCGACACTTCTGATAGACAGAAACTGGCAGTCTTTTGATTTACAGACAAGTTGTAAAGTGTATTTGTATAAATATAGGCCCGTCTATGCCAACATAGTTGGAAGGAGGTTATGTTTTCAACTCCATCTGGTTGTCTGTTTGCAAACTATCTCAGTAAATTTAGAGAGATTTGGGGGAACAGATCATTTTTGGCTCACAGATAAGTTGATTGAAATTTGCTGATTATCTGCATTTGGGATTTCTGCCATTAGACCGTTTTTTATACATAATTATCACGCTGCGTTCATGAGCTGGAAGGAAAAATCTGACATCTGGGACTTTCAAGTTGGCAACTTAACAGAGTCACTGTTTTGTCAGAGAATTTAATTACAAACCAACCCTAGATATTACAGCCTTTGGCTTTGTACATTTGGAGTTGTTCAGAATTAGAGTTATTTACCTGTGAAGAAGGATTTTGTTTTTTTTCTGTTAGAAATGTTGATTAGTGTAAACTGGGAAGCATTCAGAGCTTCGTTCATTATTAAAAATGTTGTTTTTTTAAAATATCCTGATACATATTCAGGTAATTCTGTGGGTCTGCTGCCTGCATGTGTGACTGCATAAGCGTGTGGGCTGAACCCCTGCAGAGATTAACCATTTCCTTCATTAGAAATACTCAGTCTGAACTATGCAAATAGAATCTGAGAAAGAGAATACATGAAAAAGAAAATGTCCCAGATGACAAAGTTGCATGAAGTGGTATGAATCACAATGACAGCACGATACAATAACAGGGCTGGGCAGTTGTTTAAATATCTAATAATTCAGTAGTATTGTGTGTGATTGCGTGTGTACTCTTTTATTCTCTTGTCACACGTGTATTCTAAGTAGTTTTAATTAACTTCTTTTATTTTCTGAGTGCCACATCATTCAAGGTTGTACTGGAGTGTGATTGCTAATTTCATCCTTCTCAGATCTACTCTCCCCAACTCTCTCCGTTGTTTCCCCCTTCTTTTTTTTTTCTTCTTTTTCTTTTCATTTCAACACAAAAACTGTCACCTCACCAATGAGTCTAAGCTCTAGAGAACAGAGAACGCTGCACCCCTTCTAACACAGCAAGGTAATTTACCTGTAATTCCTTTTTTTGTCTTTGGTGTGCTTTGAGAAATCTTTGTTGTAATGCATGCATGAAAAGCTTTAAGTCATTTGAAGGCACAATTGTTAAATATTCCTGGGTCAGTGCTAATACTGTGTGTATATAATAGAGCTGCAGAAATTGGAAACTGAATTAAACATTCATTAAGATCAACGATTACGACAGAAATCTCAGTATTGCTGCTGTTGAAGATGACATTCAGTGTGAGATGAGGCAGATTTCTGCTCTTACTGCCGCCACAGTGACTCCTTTTTTTGTTTGTTTTCGTGCAGGGCGAGCTGGTGAACAACATTGAGCGCAGTGTTGTGGAGGCCCAGGATTATGTGGAGGAGGCAAAGGAGACCATCCCAAAATGCAAAAAATTCAAAAAGACCAACAAACGGGTGACATGATTATTTCTCTTTTTTTCTCCCCTGTCCTTCTCATTCCTCCTCTATCCCTCACCTCGATCTGTATCCACTCCTCCTCCTCCTCTTCCTGCCTACACATCTGCCTCAATCTTCCCCCTACCTTTCTGCATGCCTTCCACACCTCCTCTGTAACTAACCTCTCCTAGGGGGAAATGATAGACCGCATAGAGTACAATGTGGAGCACTCGGTAGACTATGTGGAGAGGGCAGTATCAGACACTAAGAAGGCGGTTAAATACCAGAGTAAAGCCCGGAGGGTGAGTTGACTGCACAGCGAAGCTATGCATGTGCAAAAAACATGCTATCACATGAAAGTGATGGACACATTGCATGTACAAAGTGGAGCGCGGTGGTCGTTGTCCTCAGTGTGCATGCTCACCTGTCATGTATTGTGCATATTTAGTGTGTGTTGTCAGTGTGTTTGAGTTTGCAGCAGTGAATCTGTGGGCGCTTCTGCAGTTACCAAGGTGTATCTCTAAAAACGAAACCCAATAGAATTATGATAGCAGTGCGTACATTTGTGTTTAGGAGGAACATAAACACACAAACAGAATTATACATGGGTCCAAAGCTGATTTTGATTAAATCTAATTTCAAAATGGCCAATTAAGAACCAGACAGACTGAAGCTACAGCATCTGTCACTGAAAATTGCACTGACTTTTTTTTTATTTTTTTTTTTACCTTAAATAAAAGGACAAACATTGCTGGGTTGTTGGAAAAAATGACTTAATTCTCTCTCTTCCCCAAAGAAAAACGACGGCTTATTTATAACAGGACAGTGAACTCTTTTCCTCTTGACTTGTTGTAAACAGATTTTAGTTTAAACCTTATGGCATGATTTTTCATTTACCGTAAAAACTCCAGGGATCTCCTTTGAAGGTCCTCGGTTATACTGTATAAGTTAACCAAGAAGCCATTTTAGTCTGAAACTCCAATCCAGAGAAGACCAGACATCTCTGTTTTTGGCTTTTGTTGCATGACAGACACATCTCGCATTAAATCAAATAACACGAGTCAACCTGGAACTCTGAACATACAAGAATCTTGGTTGTCTGTATGAATAAATGATATCCTTTCACACTCTTGAACCTGAATCTCTAAACGTAGTGTAGAGAGTGACGAAATGTCCGGTGTGTTACTACGTCAACTGGCAGTGCTGCAAATGCGCAGTCTTGCTCTTTTACACACTGTTCTATCTGGGTTGTTTTTTTGTTTGTTTGTTTTTTGACTAATTAAACAACATATATCACTTCAGGTAGTGAACTTTGGAGAATGCATTTTTCAAGATGCACTTTGTCACTGGGACAAAGCTGTTAAGGGTTGTGGAGCGGAGACAAAAGATAGGAAACAAGGAAACAGTTCATAAGGATGTTTATTTGAGCACCTATCCATTAACTTAAACCACTTTACCTTGTAGAGGGCTGCAGGGCGCATCAGGCAAAAACAAGCCACACCCTGGACAGGTCCTTGCTTGACCAATACTTTGGAAATACTTTTGAAATTGATCATGTCCTTCCTCCATTTAGCAATGTGTGCTACAGTGGAGCAACGCTGCCCCCTCTTGGTTAATACCTATAATAACACTAAAGCGAACATGAACTTCACACAGCACATGACCCCAATTCACTGCAAGGGTCAACTGCATGAATATTTCTCCTCAATTTGTTCTTTCTTTCTTTCTTTCTTTCTTTCTTTCTTTCTTTCTTTCTTTCTTTCTCAATCACTCTCTCCTTCATCCACTGAATCATTATTTGACTGTTTGATCTCCTTGTTTCCCCTCCCGGTTTCCCCCTCCATCCAGAAGGTGATCCTGATAGGAGGTTGCGTTGCTGCATGTCTGACCATCCTCATTATTTGTCTCGCAGTTGGACTCAGTTAAGACTCTCAGAAATCGCCGCAGAGCAGACAGGATCCGATGCGTTCGCTGTTAAAATGTACTGTGTAGCCGGCTGTGTAATGCGCAGTCAGTGCTGTTGCCGGTCATAACATCGCTGGTCTGAAATCTGTCCAGTGTGTATTTGAGCACTCACATATTGTGCGTTAACTTTTAAATGTTTTGGGAGGTTTTTGTATTTTTGAATATATGTTTTTTTCTAACCAAATCAGTCATACACCTTGAGGAACTGTTTGCGCTTTGCCTGTGTTTGTGCCACAACTTTGTCATGTGCATGTTCTGCAGTGTGTTAAAGAGCTTTGCATGTCTTCCCCCAAACACAAGGCTGCAGAGGATGAATAAATGTTACCTCATAACCAAAGTCAATTTGTCTCAAATCGGAATTTTAAAAAAACATTTGAATTCTATATAGAAAGTTCATAAACAATCAGCGTCTCTGAAACTGCACCAAAGGAATAGTTTGACATTTTGACACGTATACTTAATATCGCTGTGAGAACAGGATGCAGGAGAGAAACTATTTCTAGCTTTCAGGTTTGCTGCTCGACTGTTCAGCTCACCTGCTACATCAGGATGAGGTCTTGCACGTCGAAAAACTGTTCTTCATTGATTATGAATTCAGGATACAAAAATTAATCATTGGATTTGTTTCAGTTTGTGGTATTGTGTTAACATTTGGACAGATGTCTGTTTTATAGCATTGCTCCATGGGGAAAAGACTTTTTTTTTTAAGGCCACTGGACAAATTGGCACCTAGACTGTGTGCCGGCTCTGTATCTAGCTCTCCTGACACATTCAGTACAGACTCATATAAAAACACAAAATGTCTAATTTACAATTCATTTTTTGGACAGCTTAAATAAGATGTAACTGGTTCAATTGTAAGGTTAAGAAAGACTGGTAAGTGGATTTTCTTAGCAGCTGTTTCCCCTTGACTTTATTTATGTCTGCAGCTTCCAAGCTGCTGTCTGCAGCTTCTTATTTACAGAAATACAAGTGGTTATGGTCCTCTTATTTAGCTTATTTACTAAGTGTTTTCCCCAAAATGTCAGACTATCAAGCACTGATAAAAACTGTTTACGAACTCATGTGGAGTATTGCATGTTAAAAAGTTTTACAAGTTACATTTACTTTAAAGTCACAGTGTGCAGTGTGTTATCTTACCTTTTTTTGGTACTTCCACCAGATGGTGCAAAAATTAACAAATCGCACATTCAAATTTGAGAAGGATTCATGTTGCATGTGTGAATATTTTATTATACGCTTCAGCTGTTGTTGTTTAATGTAGATGAGCAAAATGCAGAAACCAAAGATTTATGAGTGTAAAATTACAGGATGTGGAAATACTTTAAAAGCTACAGTCACACTCCGCAACATTTAGATGAATACATTCGATTACTGCTTTCTGTTCGGTTGCTTCTAATCTGCATTTTGTTCTGATTATTATAACATGTGTTACAGTGCAAGTCATAATTCTAACATGTGTTTCTCTGCTCCCCATTTGCTGCTTCGGATGTTTTTGTTGTCTTGTTTTCTGTTGTTGTTCTCACAATGCAGAAGAAAATTATGATAATTATATGCTGTGTGATTCTGGGAATCGTCATCGCCTCCATCGTTGGAGGAACACTGAGCTAAACCTCAGCCGCAGTTACACTAAAAAGACACGCAACCACGCAGCTACACACACACACACACACACACACGCACACACACACAAAACACAGAGTAAAAACGAAACAAGATACACGGTTTCAATTCCCTGTTTTCACAAATGCAACCTATTACACTTTTAGCACAAGATGCGTTGCATAACGTACGATGCATTTCACACACAGTGTACAGGGCCAGAGGTGTTCACGCATGAGTTGCTATTTTGTAAATGTGTGGTGCTGCAAAATGTTTATCTGAGTGTTGAGTGTTGTCAAAGATATGATGTTCCTTGAATGAAAAAGTTACTAAACGATATGTAACGCTATACTAATACATTCCGACTTCCAAATAAGACACTGGTTCAGTTGTAATGTCTATTTTTGTGTTGTACAGGCAAAGTGACAGGTCGCTCATCTGCAGTGTTTTCAAAGCCATGTTATCTGTAGATCTCCGTTTATTTATTGATTTGATTTTTCTTAGTCTTTTTACTTTCTCTCTCTGATGTCTTCTACCTCCCTTAAAAAAAAGCCCTGCATGGTTTATTTCACCGTAAAGTGGTGTTTTTGTATTCTGTCGCAAAAAAGGAAACACGACGAAAAGAAGCATATAGCCGTGCTGATGTTGGATATTTTTGCTGGTAGAATCGTCCCACTGCCAAACTTTTTACTAACAGCGTCTCCTGTAGTTGACAGAAGCAATGCTACTGTACTTGATTTCTCATCTGGCCTTACCAGTTGTGCAGCATTTCTGACCGTGACTCCAGTGTTGGGTGCAAGTGAGAGGGTGCATGTGTGAATAAGGGTGTGTGTGTGTGTGTGTTCGTCTGTTGCTGCATGTCTGAACGTGCTTGAGTGTGAGTCATGGGATGAAAACCTGAGTGCTTGTTGTTTGCCACCTGTGTCTTTGTTTTGTAAACTGATATAAAGCTCTCTAACACTGCCAGTATGTTCCAATAAGCTGTTAAAACAGAGTCTAGTCTGGTTGGTTTGATAATGCTGGTCTGTAAGTGACAAAACGCGATTGATTTATGTCTTGTTTTTTTACAAATCCCAAGCTTTAAACGGTGCATATTCTTCTGTCAAGCTACTTCTCTGTCTGTTTCCGTCAGTTAACTTGATGGGTCAGTGAAAGCATCAGCATGAAGTCGACGTAGCCCTGTAAAAGACTCTCATATCAGTTTTTGCGGGACTTATCAGACATGCACAGACTGCAACGATGTTACCATGTTGCCTACTCAACATGTTGCCTTTGTGTTGTATTGTGATGACATGGGTTTTATTTGTTCAACTGGAGTTCTGTTTTTTTCTCTGTTTTTTTGTTGTTTTTGGGTTTTTTTCTCAAGTAAAGTTTGTCTGGAAAAATGGCATTCAGAGTTTGTTCTTCGCTTTGCTTTCATGCTTTCACAGAGACAGGGTGTTTGCTGGTAAGATAAGATAAAATAAGATAGAACTTTGTAAATTCTTGTGCCAGATGCAACTGAGAATAAATGCAGTGCCTAACAGAGGAGCAATAAGATATAAGTATGATACATCACCAAAAAATAGAAATAAGTGAGCTAAAATAAGACTAGAATAGAAAGATATTAAGCAATGATTCTGCTGGATTGCTCATAAAAATGACACATTGCAGGCGAAATTGAAATATTGCACGTGACATTGACAACATGAAAGAGAATCCAAAGAACATTGTTCTGCTGAAAAAGTGCAGAATTTCAAGAGGAAGAACTCACTCACGCCCACTGCTCTCCACAAACATGTACAGGACACACTGGAATCCGACTGTGTGGCTCTGTCTGAGCCACTTAGTTTCATAATGACAGAACCAGAGTTGTGGATAAACACAGTTTTTTTTTTTCAGCGTGCACATAAAATGGACAGCTTGTGAACTGTGAAGACATGTTGACTAAATTTAAGCTGGCTATGATAGAAATTCTTTAGAACAGTGTCTCACAGCTTTTTTTTAATCATTGTGTCCAAGATGACTATTACCCCCTGTGAAGTGCCTTAAATGGACATGTGGGCGTCAAAATTCCAACATGGAACAATGGAAGAAAACGCCCTGATCTGTTGAATCATGTTTTAATCTACCCCATATGGACGGCTGTGTGCATGCAACAAAATGCGCCAAAAGGAAGATGACGCGCGTGTGGAGGCAGTGTGATTCTCTGGGTAATGTTCTGGTAGGAAACCTTCGGTCCAATTATGTGGATGTTACTTTGACATGTACCACCTATCTCCACACTCCTGCACACTGTGGCACCCCTTCATGGCGACAGTCTGTCCTGATAGCAGTGGTCTCTCTGAGCAGGATAATGCACACTGTAAAAATTGTTCGGCAGGGGTTTTGGGAACATGACAAAGTTGTGGGCGTTGATTTAGCTTCCAAATTCATAAGATATGAGTCAGATCGAGTATCTTTGGGTTGAGAAAAACCAGATGTTGGGCCCCAGACCAACTCATAGGACTTAAAGGAGGTGCTGATAATGTCTTGGTGCCTGATACCACAAGATACAGTCGACCTCAAATGTATTCATACTCTTCCATTAAAGAAAAGGCAAAATTCACAATAGTCACTCAAATAGCTAGAAACTGAAAAAAGTAATAATAAATAAAAGTTGGCTAAATTATAATTTTGTGAAATAAGACATTGCTTTTGAATTGTGGTTGAAAAGAATAATTTTAAAAAACTGTCCCAGATAGATTAGAGCACTTTACTGATGAGCAGTGGGCCAACCAGTGCAGAAGTGTGATTGAGAGTTCTAGGAAACACTTGATTGCCTCAAAGGGTTGTTCAACACAATATTAGTTTACAGGTCCCATCATGCTTGTTTGCTTGTTTTTTGTTTGTTTGTTTTTGTTTTTGTTTTTATAATATTTCTGTTGAACCACAATTCAAAAGCAATGTCGTGATTTTCATTATTTTTTTTAAATGTGTTATTACTTTTGTCAATTTCAACTTATTTCAGGGACAGCTGGGTTTTTTTTTCCTTCTTTAGTGGGAGGGTATGAATACATTTGAGGACGACTGTACCTACAGAGGTCTCGTGGAGTCAATGTAATGGTCGATGATCGGTGTATCACAGCTTTTTTGGCAATACGAGGAGAACCTGCACAATATTAGGCCAGTGGTGTTAATGTGGTGGCTGATCAGTGTGTGCCTCAGTTAGGAAAGGTGATACTGTGCACAAATTAATCATTTGCTCCAGTTCATTTAGGTTACAAAAAAAAATGCAAACAGAAGCTAAACCAAAATACTCCAAAGATGAGGGTCATCATACCTTGCCCATCAGGGTCTCCACAAATAGAGAGGTGTTCTAAGCAATATCATACACATCTCTACCATGTTCTTTATTCTGCTATAAGTCTTACTGGAGTGTAACCTAAATACCGATACCACCACCGATAATTAGAACTGTCAGAACCATCTAAGGCTACAACCATTAACTCTATGTAGAGATGGCAAAACCTTTCATGACATTTTCCTCAGCTTTCCTAAACAGTGGGTTTGAAGCACAGAGTAGAGGCTTCTGCCTACATGCCTTTAATTATTTATAACTTTAGGCCTTAATACAATTTTAATGGTTGAGTTACATAAAAGTTCCTCCTCTCTACGGTTGTCATGAAAAGGAAAACTAGTTGTAGAGACAAAAACTGTTTTTGTACCAGTCCGTAAACATGTTTATTTCTCCTGTAAAGTTGGGTGTTTTAACATGCTGGTCTATGGGGACTATGACGCTTTTGTAGCCAGCCTCAAGTGGGCCATCTGAGGAACTGCATTTTTTGATACTTGTACGCTGGCTTTGTTTTTTTTAGCCCCAGAGGTTGACAATGATTATTTAAAAAGTTTTTATAAAGCAACAACAAACCAACAAAATTCATGTACATTTACAGACCAAATACATTTAATTTACATTGATGTGTATGTATATATATTTACGCTTCTTATGCTCCAGCAGCTACTTCTGCTATGTAGAACATGTTCATCCTGCAGCCTCAGCACTCAGGCAAGTTCGCTCATGTTACAAACACATACTTGTTGCCACTTGGCTCTAATTCTCTAGAACAATATATTTAAATCATTTAGCACCCAGATTTTCTCACTTGAAGGTGTTTATTGTAATGCCAAATTGTGTAAATGCACTCTATTACAGAGAGTTATTCTAAATGTATTGCAGCCAAACACATCTTGGAGATCTGAGAAACTGAGAGAACTTCCTTGAATCTCTCTAATCCTTGAAAATGATTGTATTTTTGCTTTTTCCCATCACTCACACCATGGCATGTCACTCTTATCTTGTACAATAGAACAGGAACATTTTAGCTTATGGTCACTTTATCATGAAATTATGTTTTGTCTGACTTTAACCATCATCTTATGTTAAGAAGAACAATATTTTGAGTGGTTGAAAGAGCACACGAGAAAATGAGGTGTCAGTCTTCTAACAGAGCAACTTTGATACCCTGATAGTGTGATTCTTAAAATTAGGAGTCATGGCAAACATGAACTCAATAAACAGTGTCATCTACTAAAACTACATGATTGGAATTGATTCCTTTAGACTGGAATCCTCCAAGACAACACTACATTGCTATTTTTTAAAAGTACAAATCAAAACTGAACCATTAAACAACATTATTAAATCAGCATGGACAAAATGATTCACAAATTCATGGGAAAAATAATGATAGAATAAAGCGACAGTAAAATAGGACAGAAGTTTAGATCTGGGATCTGCGGGTACAAGATAAAAAAAATCCTGGCAGCAAGGTTGCCAGAAAAACATACACTGACAGATTTAAATACAGTAAAACAGTCACACATTATGAAAGAAGTAATTACTATTTGTGTTGTTGGGTTGTTGTGTTTTTTATACAGTCAACATGTAAATTAATGCTTTTTGTCTGTAAATTTACAGTATCATTTCTGTGAAAATCTGTAAAATAACGGTAAACTAAAAATGTACTGTTGTCATCATAATCTTTACACGAACCCCAATCCTGTCTCAGTGGCCTGGAAAGAAGTAGAAGTGCCTTGTCAGAGTGCATCTGTCTTTGGTTGGCATCTGTCTTTTGTTGCCAAGTTTTAAATCTTCAAAGCATTTCATGACCTGCGTGGTTGAAACAAACAGGAAGATCCTCATCATTGCTCGCACTGTGGTGATGTAACTTTACATTTGTACACAAGCATAAACCCATAAGATAGTTTGTATAAGTGAGACTTACTCTTCTGAAAAGCTCGTCAATGTTGTCCTTATGTGCGAAGGTGTTGAATACTTCAACAATCTTCTGGATGAGGACAGACCCGTCACTTGGGGATCTATATGACACAGTGTCTGAAGGAAAAAAAACATTCAGAGACAAAAAATTAATTTTTACTACGTGAAGCAACTATTTTCAGCTCTTATCACTGTAGATTACTGATTTTCACCGGATCATGAGCTTCAGGAAAAGATCTGATAATTTTTCAGATAGACTGACCAGGGGTGGAGGAGAGCAGAGAAATGAAGTCTTTTTCTTTGTGCACACATTGCAAATTATCCTCCTCCACGTCGTCTTCAGCATCATGTGGCACAGTGTCAGAATCCAGAGCTTGGGCCGCATTATCACTAACAAACACATGTCCTCTCCCACCTGAAACATATGCAACATACTTTAAAGATAAGACATTTGTAGACTCTTATATTAATATAAGTTGAGTTCCTGCAAGAAAAGCTGAGAATCACCTCCTCTGCAGGCCTGGATGATGAGGATCTTGGGTTTGTTCAGCAGCGCTGGACATTTCTCTGGACCCAAGTGTTTGTAAATGTTGTCAATGGGGAACACATCTGTTGACTCCTCATTTTCGCAGTTGACACCTAGTACTTCTCCCAGTTTCCCATGAGACATGATAATCACCAACACACTGTCTGTCTCTTTGAGTTTTGGATGTTTAGAGAACTCGACCAGGGCCTTGTCAATGTCCTGTGAGAACACAACAGTCAACGCATCAGTACTGTGTCAGTAAGTCAAGCAAACAACATACTTTCCTAAATTTCCCTTTTTATAAAATACCTTTGCAGTGAGGTTTTTGTGTTTCACCACGTCATAGCTTAAATCTGAGAGCAGTTTTTCCATGTTCTTCTCATCTTTCTCAGCACCTTTTCTGTTTAATTTCTCATTAGCAAACTGCATATTAGTGATCAGCAGAGCCACACGGTTTCTAATGGAATTTCTGTCCACAGGGTAAATCTGGAAAACAAATTTAAAGGAAGGAAGTTAAACATAATAGGCCTGGTGTCTCAACACAATCATCACTGTATTATTTCTTCTTGTTAAACATCAAATCTTCAGGTGAACTAAAGTAAACTGCATGAGAAAAAACATAATACTTGAACCACATTAAAATTACATTTTCATTTCTACTGACTGCAAAATTAGCAGTTAAGTCAATGTGAGACGTCTAATATAGCTTTTGTGAATTACTGACATCTGAGTCATTCATTTTCTCCCTCCAGAATGAATCAGTGCTGTGGACCAGTGTAGGTGACCACTCCATTTTCATCTTTGGCTGTGCAGCTGAGAACGACAAAGCACAACAATAATGTTTCCACAGAAGCATTTATATTCTGTTTATACACCTGTGATCATGACAGTAGCAGACTGCAATATGTGTTACAGAAAATAAGATGATCTGAATGTCTCTCACCAGGCTGAGCAGGCTGACTACAGGACAGACCCAGCTCAGAGTAAAGTGTAGCGTCTCTATCTTTAAGGTGAGCAATCATCTTCCTGCTGGCTTCGTCCCCTTTCTTCTTCACTGTGTCTACAAGATCGCGTGCCTTGTCTGCTTTGCTCATGTTCTCCTCAAGTATTGAATCTTTCTCCCCGTCATTCAAGACACCGTCATCTAAAAGGTCATCCAGGAGCTGAGTGAGCACCACTTTGGACACCTTTTCCACAAACTTAGTCCTCGCGCGAGCAAGCATCTTAGCTGGAATTGGGAATATGCAGAAAAAATAGCAGAAGAAACATTGTAAAATTTTAAATATTGTCAACAGCAAATGTGCCAACAGTGAAAAATATATTGAGAAACAAATGCTGTGCTTTGAAAGCCATTTACAGCACACAACAGAAGTATTTACACCCCTGAGCAATGTCACTTTAATATCCACTGATTCAAAATTGCATCACCTCTCAATAATTGCATTATTTCTAAGTTGAACAGTAGAGTGTTTCCTCTATGAACAATTACATATGCTTTGGAAACACTACATTGAAAATACAGGCTCCAAAATAGAAACTCAATATAACAAAAGTGACACACAAGTCACAGCAGTTAATCAGCCCAGCTGCATGAATCTGGTTTAGGACCTATGGGGCTGCATCTATCTGCATGTCTGCATCATGACTCATGGAAAAGAATTGCCAGAAAGTTGAAAGATTTAATGGTGTGACTTCGCAAAGCAAAAAGCGGATAAAGGAAGATTAAACATCACATAAAACACAGTTGCAACAGCAGTACTTGCGAGGTATAAAACGACCGATAGTACCACTAATCAGCAGTGGCCATCCTTAGTTTTTAATTTCACATAAAATCAACAACATAGTCAACTAATTTTATTGTCATAATCTGTTTTTTTTAGAATAGTTTTCATTTCTATTATTTATTTAATTTAAGAACAACATAAAATGTTTTTAAAGGAGCATTTAATCCCTTGGTTGTTTGTAATATTATAATCACTATACTTGAAGACGTGGGTTTTTCTCACTTTTTTTGGACACTAAAAAGATGCTTTAATATTTACAAGTTGAAATCAGTTTGTGATTATCATCTCTGAGATCATTTAGGAGGCTTTAGTTTGTAATAACGTTGAACTGTATTGCTTTAGGGCTGCAAGGTGGCTCGGTGGTTAGCACTGTTGCTAGAAGGTCGCCGGTTCACATCCCTGTGAGGACACCCAGGATCTTTCTGCATGGAGTTTACATGTTCTCCCCATGCAGCCTGGGTTCTCTCCAGGTTCTTTGGCTTCCTCCCACAAATCCAAAAACATGTTGAGGTTAATTGGTGATTCTAAATTGTCCGTAGGTGTGAATGTGAGTGTGCTTGGTTGTCTGTCTCTAAGTGTAGCCCTGTGATAGACTGGTGACCTGTCCAGGGTGTCCCCTGCCTTCACCCTAAGTGTTAGGGCTGCTGGCCCTTCCTTCCTTCTTTGTGTCTTTTCCTTTTTTTTGTGAAGATTTTAGTGTGCCGTTAGCGGTGGTGGATTGGGCCAGGCCACATGGGCGAAGCCAGGCCAATCACGTGGGACTTCCAATCAAGAGCCGCCAACAAGATGACAGCGGCCTATTTAAGTGGAAGAGTCCAAATTGACGGGGTGGCTGTATCCAGCCCACCAGTGCCTGATTTCACAGGAAAACTTATTGTTTTGTAAAGGCACTTTCTTTTCTTAAAGCTGTTCTGGGACAAGGCTAGGTAGGGATTGTTTTTTTAAATTTCCAGTAAAGTAGGTTCTGATTTGATATACCTTGATTTTGAACCCTTTTTGTTATTCAGTTGAACTTGGTTTTTCCTTTGTTTTGTTTGGCAGCAAGTTTTAGTTATAAGAGCTTTTGTTTGGGCATTTAAGTTAAAGAGCACCGTTGTGCCCTGTTTCCTCAGTTTCGTATCACCAAACTCAACTGTGAATAAATAATTGTTACTTTTAAAACCAATTAAAACTGGTTCTGTTACTTTCCCTTTCCTCCAGCTGGGTTGTAACACTAAGTCAGCTGGGATAGACTCCAGCCCCCCATGACCCTAGTGAGGACTAAGCGGTGTATAGATAATGGATGGATGGATGTATTGCATTAGACAGAGAGACCTGCCAATAAATAGATAAATAAGATGGACAGCAGCACCACAAACAGAAGTTTCTACAAGGATCATCGAAACCTTTTAACAAGAGCAGAGCATCATGATCTTCACAAAGGAAGAATTTATAGCTGACCTTTGTTTTTAGATAATTTTTTTATTTGTTAGGTGTGAACTAGCAGTATTATAAAGTCAAAATACACATTTGAACAATGAATAATGATCCATTAAGAGTAACAGATACCAGAAACCCGATAATAAGCTATTTAAATGTGTCTGACTGTAAACGTGTTATAAAGTGTTGCAATCACTGTTTGTGTGCTGTACATGGTTTAGTTTTTATGGGTTGAGTCTAAGGAAAAGTTTCCCCCTGTGTGTGTGCTGCAGGGCGGGGAGTTAATGTCACCCTCCTCCTCTTCCAGCAGAAAAGAACAACTTAAAGTTTCTCTGTTTGAGAATCATTTCACATCACAGTATGAATTACTAGATCATCAGCGATGTCTGCTTTTAATATCATGTATTTTTTCAGTGATAAGAAATCAAATGTTTCAACATGAGCAAACCTGCTTTCACCATCTCAGCTCCACATTCATTTTATTACCTTGTCCACTAAATGAGGGGATCTGGATGCGTAAAATATATATCAGATGTTTTTGTTTTGTTTTGTTTTGTGTTAAGTTGCGCAAACAAAATGCAAATCTAAAAGTGGATAATCCAAAGGTCCCATCATATTTATTTTTCACCTGAGCGCACCAAACCAAAGCAGGACGGAAATGGTCGGAAAGTGAAACTGAACTTGACGTTCACAACGAAATATAAAACTGCTGACTTTGCTTTGACAGGCGTTAGTTTTGAAACTCAGAAGACATATTTGTAACCCGTATATCCCCTCATCGCTTTCATAACGCAGTAAATACAACTTGTGCGTAATGTGGTTTGCTGGCTGGTCGCCTACTCGTTGTCGCCAACATGCCGCCAAATATCGGTCATGGTTGCCTACAAATGTGTTGCCTACATGTGATCAGTGAATTCTTACCTGCCATCGTTCAAGTCGTATGTCACAGAACTTCTTAAAGTGAAATCTGAAAGTTAGACTTGTAAACTTTCCGCTTTCTCCAGTCTGTGTAGACGTGCGTAATGGGTCCCGGCTGAGATGAGGCCAACTCGTTTCCTGTTTTATGCGCACAATAACCCACTTTGAATCATCAGCAGTAAAATGTGTACATCTGCTGCACACTATCAACTTTAACTTGTGGCTTCAAAAAGCAAAATCAGCCCTTGTGGTGCAACCCCTTGTGCACGTCGGTGCGCCCTGATTTTAAGCCACACCTGAAAAACGGTGTGACTGCAGGTGATCCTTTGAGTTAATAATTCATCTGGGGGCATTAAAAATTATTTCTATTTGTTCTAAAAGGCAATTGCTTCACTGTATGATTAAAAAAAAAACGTCCTCGAACTTTTGCGCACTGATGGTATTCTGCAATAAAATAATAAAAAATTACATAGTGATGCAAATAGACGTGACAGTAAACGCACTCGTTTGTTCCCCTTAAGATTGAATGAAACTAGATTACAAGATAATCTCTTTTTTTTCCCTCCAGGTTGTAATTAACTCACTCCATCTTCATAGATATTTCAGTTGGAGTTTTTTCTTTTGGGGAAAAAAAACATTTGCATGACAGTAAAATAATATTAGCAATATCTACTAAATATCTACCAACTTCTTGAAACCTACAAGATGGAAAAAAAAGCACTTGGAAGCAGCTGGATAGTTTCTCTGTAAAATTATTGCTGTGAATAGCAGATATATGTTTCAGTGCATATGTGTGTGTATTGTCTTTAAACTTATTTGTGATATAACAATAAGTGAAAATGTGCCAAATAGCCCACATTGGAGGAGAAACAAGTGACAGCACAGGACATTTAAGTCAAAACTGTAAAATAATGCAAAGCTATAAGAAAAGATAAGATAAGCCGTTATTAATCCCACAGTGGGGAAATTTGCAGTGTTACAGCAGCAAAGATAGTGACATTTAGGGAATGTATTAAACCAAAACAGGGCTGCAAGATGGCTCAGTGGTTAGCACCGTTGCCTCATAGCTAGAAGGTTGCCAGGTGAGGACACCCGGGATCTTTCTGTGTGGAGTTTGCATGTTCTCCCCGTGCAGTGTGGGTTCTCTCTGGGTTCTCTGGCTTCCTCCCACACAGTCCAACAACATGTTGAGGTTAATTGGTGATTCTAAGTTGTCCGTAGGTGTGAATGTGAGTGTGCTTGGTTGTCTGTCTCTAAGTGTAAAAAATATCCCAGTATTCTTGTGGCTCTTGTCTGTCTGCATAATGTGCATTTATTAAACATGCACAGGTTTTAAATTTCAAGCATCAAGTGATTTCAAGTTAAGAAATGCAACTTTTTTTGGTTGTTGCACTGTTCTATTTTATTTTCACCTCACTAAGTTCAATGCTAAAATCTAACAGCAGATCAAATTGAACATCTTGGTTACATAATATAATGTGACTTTAAAGCTGCATGATGTGATGAATGATGATCAGTCCTCATTTCTTTGGTTGTGAATGCAGACAGTGATACACATCATCAAGGCCGTCAGACTGCTGTTGTTTATTTCTCTGTGCTGGTTATATCCTACTTTTATTCTTATACTCAAACAAATCAATAGTAAAAACCCAAACCAGCAATGACTAGATCCTTCTAATAAGAATTGTCAGACTCTTTTATATCTTATTTCTCCATGTTGCAGAGCTTCAGTGTTGTCCAAAAAAATTTTTTTTTTAAATTTTAAAAAACTGTGAAAACACAGTGACACTCAGTGAGCCACACAGTTGCTCTATAGAGGATTCTTCTTTACAGTGAGCATGAACACTATTCTGGGATACTTTGTCCTGCTGCAGCTTCGTTTTGATATGAAAATAGTTTGAGTAAAGTTAATGTTCTTTGCCTAAAACAAACTACATGCCAGAGACCCATTCTCCATACAGCCTCGGTTGGTTTTGGTCGTCTTATTGGAAAAGGAAAAGGAAGAATGTCAAAAATAATAGCAGAGTTAAGCCTTTAACCATTTAACATACAGCTTCCCAATTTACATCTTATTATCTTGTTCCTCACTGTCAGACAGTATCAGCTGGTTCCAACTTTTACTACATATATATATATATTGTTCTGTATGCTTATTGCATTTTAATTTTATTTTACTGAAAAGCACTTTGTAACATTTGTTTTGAAAAGTGCTCTATAAATAAAGTTTATTGTTATTATTATTATTATTATTATTATTATTGTATGATTAATACACAGAGAAAAATACCCAACTAGAAGCCGGTGTGTTTCTTTATATGTAAGTCATTACGTGATTTTGCATACATTTCATCAATTCTCAGCCTGACATATTTCTCTTCTGAATGTGTTACATGGTGTTACTTGTGTTTTAATACATACATTTCCTGCACCTAAGTTATTGTGACTGAGATTAATAACTCCATTTATGACCGTGGCAAAGTCCAACGCCAGTTTGCCACGCTATCAAGATCAAGGTCTCCTTGTAGCTCTTTAGCGTTGACCTGCTACACTGAACAGCTCTCCTGGTCAAACAGGCTGAAAATAGGACAGACTCAGCTCAGAATAAATTAAAGGATCTCTACATTGAAGGTGAGCATCACTTTCCTACTGGCTTTGTCTACTTTCTCCTTCTAGCATCAGTGAAACAGTACGACTTGTCAGTTCTGCTATTATTTTCTTCAAGTATTATGTTTTTCCCCGTCACTGACGACACCATCTGCTAAAAGGTCATCTGAGAACTGATTAGTAACTTCTTTGGACACTTCATCTACAAACATGTTTCTCATTTTCGTAAGCTTCTTATTCAGTAGATCGAACTATAGAAATCACACCTCTCAAAAGTAGCAGAACGTAAAAGACTTCTTTCGACACATTGCAAAATAAACTCCGCAAGTTTCTTATCTAAAGGAATCATTATAAGGCAAAAATGAATTCAAAACACCACTCAGGTATGATTTGAGGCTCTCACTTTAAACTGAAAATACATTGTATGTCCTTTACAATTTAATACAGTCATCACAACAGAGCTGCCATGGATTCTACACTTCGGGAGATTATAATGTTCAGTTTTTGTTGGAACTGTTTGTGAAATATTTGTGGAAATAATGTGACAGAAACTAAAAATGTTTAGATAATGTGAATCAGAACTGAAGCTTACCGCCCTTTTAAAGGTTGACTTTCTGGCTGGTGTTGGCTTTGCATAAGATTTTACAGGTGTACCTAATAAAGTGGTAACTGAGTGTCTTCTTTTTTAACCAGGGGGATCAGTTAGTAAAACTTATATCTGAATCTTAAATGTAATCTTTGATGTGTGGTTATATTTTGCCACCTATCCTGATAAAACACATGTTGAAAATCAGTTTATGGGAACACTAACCAATGGACCAGAAAGCAAACAATATCAAGTATCATTTAAAATAATGTTACAGGAGATTGTTTTTTTGGGCTTTCAGTGTTGATAATTGAGGCTCTTGTTGCTTAAAGGATGCTCATTCTCTGAGTGGTTTGATTCCTTGTCATTCTGCCTTTTACCCTGCAGCACATAGAGTTGAAACCAGAAGTTTACATACACTGTATAGAAAGACATAAAACCGTTTTGTTTTGGGTTTTTTTTTGTCTAACTGTCTGACATTAAATCAGACTAAACTTTTCTTGTTCTTGGTCAGTTAGAATTACCAAAATTATTTCTGTTTGCTAAATGCCAGAGATTTTTTTGTTTGTTTGTTTTTGAGAATTTTTTCTTACTTTCTTCAAAGTCAGAAGTTTACATACACTAAGATTTCTATGCCTTAAACTATTTGGGAAAGCCCACATGATGATGTCATGGCTTTGGAAAACTTTTCATAGGTTAATTGACAACATTTGAGTTTATTGGAGGCACTCCTGTGGGTGTGTTTTAAGGCACACCTCAAACACACTGCTTCCTTTTGTGACAGCACGGAAAAATCAAAAGAAATCAGTCAAGATATCAGAAAGAGAACTGTGGACCTTCACAAGTCTGATTCATCCTTGGATACAATTTCCAGATGCCTGAAGGTTCAACGTTCATCTGATCAAACAATTAAATGCAAGTATAAACACCATGGGAATGTCCAGCCATCATACCTCTCAGGAAGGAGACGGGTTCTGTGTCCCAGAGGCGAACGTGTTTTGGTGGAAAATGTGCATATCAACCCCAGAACAAAAGCAAAAGACCATGTGAAGATGCTGCTGAAGCTGGTAAGAGAGTGTCATTATCCACAGTGAAACAAGTCCTGTACCGACATGGGCTGGAAGGATACTCAGAAAGGAAGAAGACATTACTACAAAAGCAACATAAAAAAGCCAGATCACAGTTTGTAAATGCACACAGAGACAAAGACCTTCATTTCTGGAGACACGTCCTGTGGTCTGATGAAACTAAAATTTAACTGTTTGGCCACAATGACTATCGTTACATCTGGAGGAAAAAGGAGGAAGCTTGCAAGCCTGAGAACACCATCCCAACTGTGAAGCACGGGGGTGGCAGCATCATGTTGTGGGGGGGTTCTGCTGCAGGAGGGACTGGTGCACTTCACAAAATAGATGGCATCATGAGGAAAGAACATTATGCGGAAATATTGAAGCAACATCTCAAGACATCAGCCAGGAAGTTAAAGCTTGGGCACAAATGCGTCCTCCAAATGGACAATGACCCTAAGCATACCCCCAACTTAGTTACAAAGGGGCTTCAGGACAACAGAGTCAGTGTTTTGGAGTGGCCATAGTAGAGCCCTGATTTCAATCCTGTAGAACATTAGCGGGCAGAGCTGAAAAGACATGTGCGAACAAGGCAGCCAACAAATCTGACTCAGTCAGACCAGTTCTGTCAGCAGGAAGGTGTCAGAATTCCAATAAACTATTGTGAGAAGCTTGTTGAAGGAAACCCAAAACATTTGACTCAAGTCATACAGTTTAAAGGCAACACTACCAAATACTAAGGAAATATGTAAACTTCTGACTTGGAAGAAAGTAATAAAAAATTCTCTGAAAAATTCTCTCTCATTATTCTGGCGTTTAGCAAATAGAAATAATTTTGGTAATCCTAACTGACCTGAAAGAGGAAAAGTTTAGTCTGATTTAATGTCAGATAGTGAGAGATAAAGGTTATGTGTCTTTTTATACAGTGTGTGTAAACTTCTGTTTTCAACTGTAGCTGCTCAACGTTGAACTTGACTTTCTACATTCTTCCCTTATCTTACCTCATTTCTGCTTAATTCAGTTTCCATACTGACACAGCACCTTGTTAAGACTTGCTGCTCCAGAGCCCTCTTTGTTTTGATGTTTATCTTAACGTACTAGTCTCAGTGGTGAGCAGTACATTTTGCCAGCAGTAGAAGTAATGCTGTAGTTCAGTTTAGTTTGTGTTACATTACAAGCTGCTGCATTTAGATCATTCTATATGCAGCCGCGTTTCCTCTTTGCCCCACTACAGCTACGTGACTGTGGCTGTTAGTGGTTTTACAGTGATCAGCTCATTATACATGAACCATTTCTGTCGATTAAACTGCTATGTACCACATTTCAAATGAGCTCCTTCAGTATTACTAAAATGTTGTGCATGATTAAATAATGTAACATATTAAACGCTCGAACAATTTGATTTGACGTCACTTGTCAACTTGTCAGGAGTAGGTCTCTTGACTGCACTTCTCCTGGCATTTTGTCTCGTGGCACTGTAAAGATCTCTTGCCATTTACTGGATATGTTTGCCGATCGGCTTACCCTGCTCGAAGTAGAAGGTGATGATGACTGTGAAGAGCTAGGCAGGGGTGACAAGCAGCAGCGAGGACGAAGAGGAATAAGGCAACGGACTGGAGACAATGACAGACTTGTGGCAAGATTTGGATATCAAGTGTAATTTTGGTTTAGTTTCTGCAACACATGAAAATTAAATAACATAAATAATATCATTATTTTCATCTGAGTGTAGCCCTGTGATAGACTGGGTGTCCCCTGCCTTCACCCTAAGTCAGCTGGGATAGGCTCCAGGCCTCCATGACCCTAGTGAGGATTTAGCAGTGTATAGATAATAGATGGATGGATGGATGGATGGATGATTTTCACAATATTGTTCCAATATGCATGCAAATCAATATTATAAACGCAACATGGCAAACTGGCATTGCAAATGTGTGCTTTGTCCATCAACAAGCTGAGAGTAAAACGTCTTGTTTATGACAAATTGCTGTTGTTGCAATTGGACTGGAAAATTGCAAACTAAAGATTGATAGTAATTACCCATGTTGAACGCCTCTAGAAGTTTTCTTTGCTGTACAACAGGCAACAGGTCTCTGCTGTCATCCTGCTCTACATACTCGAGGTCTTCTATTGATTCCACACTGATCATCTGTTGTTGAGTATCCTCAGACAGGCTGGGCAAAGTCTTGAGGATAATGACCTTTTATTTCATCACAAATGGATGACAGGAATCTAAAATGTGGGGACAGAATGAGGAAGAATTAGCAAAGACACCTTGTGCTACATAAGTCAGTACAACATGTTAAATCTCCTCCACTCTCCAGTTTAGTCCAAATCTGTTCACATTTATGACGATAAATGTGAAACTTCAGTGCTGAAAATTTAGAATAAACTTGAATGCGTGCAGAAAAGCAACACTTAAAAGATGCATTAGGCATTCAAGTATGAGTTCACATGTGCCTGACCTATGCAAATGCATTGCTGCAGGTCTTTTCACATACGTTGCAAGTTGTCATCTCTATACTATGGCTTACAGGCCTTTACAACAAAATCATCTCACTTGTCCGAAACATACAGTCTTTAAAGTACTCTGTCTCTGTCTCTACCAGGATATTCCAATTGCTAGGCAAAACAGAAGCATCCATTTTACTGAGAGCTGGCTTGTTCAGTCAAATAAACCTCTTGCAGCAGTTTGCATAACAAGCAAATCTTTCTTTTCAAAGTGGAGAGAAAAGCAAGATTACCCACCCTACAAACACTTTTTAAACCTTAAATAGCCCCACTAGAAATTTGTTTTAACTTTTGATGTATTCAGTAGAGTTAAATATTTCGCAAAGTTGAATGCGGAGCCTATGAGCGAATATTTTTGCATTATGTAGTGTAACTATTTATACATAAAGAAAAGAATCCAGTGGTTAGCACTGTTGCCTCACATCCTGAAGATCCCAGTTCGCATCCCAGTTAGGATGCCCGTGATCTGTCTGCATGAGGTTTGCATGTTCTCCCCGTGCACCGTGGGTTCAAACATGTTGAGGTTAAGTGGTGATTAACCTTCTAAATTGTCTGTAGGTGTGAATGTAACTGTGCTTGGTTGTCTGTCTAAGTGTAGCCCTGTGATAGACTGGTGACCTTTGCCCTGAGTCGGCTGGGATAGGCCCCAGCCACATGAGGAATGTAAACAGAAGGGTGAGGGCTCAGAGCGAAGAAAAACAGGAACCAAAAGCACAACACAAAATAAGGCACATTTAAAAAAAAAAAAAAAAGCAGAAATAACATTTGCTTGAATTGAAAGCATGATTACAGGGTTTGGAAAATCAGGCAGGCAAACAAAGCAAAGGAAACAGCAAGAGGGAAGCTTAGCATTATGGCAAGATTAAATAGAGTATTATTATTATTAGTAGTAGTATTAAATAGAATATTAAAAAGAGGTAATACGAGCAGTCGTTGAGCCGGTGGTATGAATACCAAAGGGGCTGGGATGTGTGATGCAGGTGGGCGGGGAAGAACAGTTACAGGCTGTCGATGACATGTTAAGGTTGCCGGATATCCTTCTTTGAAACTGCAAAGTTTTGCTTGGCAAGGTCAAAGGGTTACACTTCTGAGTAACCACGAAATTGCGACTAACTTTCACCACACACTACAGCCGATAGCCAAATTTTACTCTTAAGTACAAAAACAAGCTTTGGATTGCAGTTTTTAATTATCTGACTGTTTTGTTGTTGTTTTTATTGGAGAATTACAACTTGAATACCCCTAAATTGCATAAACAGCCCAGTAAAAGGCAGACAACTCCCCAGAACTGGGCATCTAAAATGGTGATTTGTAGATGAATTGCTGTTGGTTGTTTTCTATAATATGATTGTACATATATTTGTGTAAAAAGATGCGTCTTTATTATTTGTCGTAAGGATATGTGTTGCAATCCAAATGTTCTGTGAGGTTATTACGATGTCGTGACAGCAGGCGGCGATAAACCGCTTAACCTGGTCTGTAACCTAACAAAAAACCAACGAAGAAGAAGTGAAGCAGACAAAATGGCTGTAGGACGAAGCTAGCTGCTTGGCTAATGTAAACATCCACCAACAGCAGACTGGAGAGGGAGCGAAGATAACGTTACCCGATAAGTTTTTGACCCGAATGAGAGTGTATGTTGAAAAAAAAATCATGTTGCCAACTCAGAGTATATTCATGAATGTAACGTCAATCCAGCAGGTTGCGTTAGCTAGCTAGGTTAGCTCTGTAATTAGCTTAGATAAACACTGGCTACATTGGCTAGCTGTAGATTAGCTTTTTAAAATTGGCGTTCTAGACTATGATGAAGGCTTTGCAGCGCGAATACTGATCTACAACAACATAATCATTTGTTAGAAATCATAGGAAGCATTTGTCAGAGGTGGGGGAAGCTCTTTGGAGAGGAAATGTTTAAGATTCTGCGCTGTGTCAATGCTAACTTAAATCATAGCTGCAGCAGACATTCCTCGGTCTTACCAGGAATAACTTATTGTCCTTGTTGTGTCATTAGCCTGATGTGTCTGCGTTATTTTAGCTGTTATGTTCTGTATCTTGTATCCGATCCATGTGCTTTTACCGTTGAAAAAAGGCATTAAAGGACCAATTCGACTCATGAAATGCAGCTTCCAACTTGCCAAGAAGTGATTGGCGCTTTTGCATTATAAATGAAGTGTTATTAAATGCATCGAAAAGTTTTGATTTCATTCGTGAGGACTGTGTTTTAAAGAGAATAGCGAATGGGTTATATTTTTTTAGGTGACATATTAAACCGATCGGCACATCATGTTAATTGTAGCTTAGACAAAGATATAAGACATACCAAACACATACAGGTTGAACAATGGAAACAGTACTTAAGTCTTGCCTATATTCAGTGAATTTTGAGTCTGACTGAGTTCTAAACAGAAACCTTTTTTTTTTTTTGGCCAGTTATTTGGCTATAAGAAATGTTAGGTTCACCAAGACACGGTTTTGTGGTTAACACCGACATAAAGTCATGTGTATTTGCAGAATCCCATAAGAATAACTTTATGTCTGTGTAAGCTGCTAAAATGTGTCTTTGTGAAACTTCAACTTTTCTTGTAACCAAATACTTTGTAAACTGGGCAATGCTGCAAAACAGTTTTTGGCTCGACAGCCCCCAAAAGACATCCAGTTAGATCAGTCAGGGCATTCACTTAACATTTTGGATCGTGCTTAAATATACTGCTGTAGAGTTTAGTCAGATAAGCTTGGTCTGATGAGCTATGTGTGATTTCGACTTAAACGCTGTAAAAAGTTGGCTGCAGTCGTGAATGTGAAATTTGACAGGGTTCATAGCAATGGGCTTTGTCTTTTTGTTACACAAAACAATGTGCAGTTTGGCTCACGTAGTCGCTGGTTTTTGAAGTGTCCTGTCTTCTGGTCCCCTTCCAGCTGTCTTCCTTTTCTAGGTGAATGATGATGAGCCAGCGGCGTGGGATCCATCTGGACCAATCAGAATTGCTTTGCAAAAAAGGATGTGGTTTTTATGGCAACACTGCTTGGCAAGGCCTATGCTCAAAGTGCTGGCGAGAGGAAAATCAGCGAGAAAAGCAAAAACAGATTCAAGAAGACTGGGCGCTTGCTGAGAGGTTTGTCTATCTCTTTGTGTCCTGTGTGGGATTATTCCTAAAAGGCAAATATTATGTCCTTTGTTGTCTTACCTCTTCATTTTGTCTGCCTGCCCTTGCGTCCATCTGTACGTCTGAAGGCTGTTACGGTTGTACTGTGTTTTACCTCACAGGCTGCAGAGAGAGGAAGAGGAAGCATATGCAAGCAGACAGCAGAAGACGCAATCACAGCCTAGCATCACTCCCTTCAGCAAATTTGAAGAAAGAAAAACTAAGGAAAAGTCAAGCAAAGTCAACACTGTCACAAAGTTTTTTACTCCATCCAGTAAAACACCACCAAAAAAAGGTATGTAGTATCTCAAGTTGGTAACTCCTAGAAATGCTACCTACCAATGTCTGTTTTTATAGTGTTTAAAGTTTCCATTGCTGTTAGCAAGCTGAGAGCTAACTGTGTGATATTTTTTCATAATTTATATGACTCAACATTGGGCTGTTTTAATTTAAGTATTTCACTGCATTCATTTTTGTGGTGATATTATACTGGGGAAAAAACACTGAGAAACTAAGCTATGCACAGGCTGATTAAAATAACCTATTATGCTGCAGCTCATCAGCATAAAATACTGCGTAGTAGTATAGCGATATCAGAAAAAGATGCTCCAAAAGGAGATCCTTTCTTGAAAGTAACATTAAGTGTCTTTTCCCAGATGCTGCTCTTTTCGACTCGCAGTCCAGCCCAAGTCCCAGCTCTTCAGCAAGCCGACATTCCTCTGCAGACAGTGATCACGCGACGCGAGAGTTCATTGATTTTCTCAAGCCTCTGAAATCTGGCAGGGAGATCTTCAAACAGTGCCGGGCCTTCACTGAGAGCATGGTCTATAAGCGGGTGAGCTACTATTAGTTGTTTAAGTCTAGGCAATTTATGAACCCATTACTTTTGCTCAAGTTCAATTTTCATTTAAGATTGTGTTTATACTCAAAGTCTACACAACATCAACAACAGTGATATTTTTAGATGAATTGTGATTGAACCATGTGTTTGTAATGCTGTTTAATTGCCCCCTGTCCTGATTTTTTGCTTCTAACATTGCAGTTAAAATAATAATATCAAATAATAAAAATGTGCAGCATTATTTTTGTGACTAACTTTGTCAAATACTTGTACACACTGAGATGCTGAATGCCACATGTTTTTTTTTTTTGTTTGTTTTTTTAATACACGTTGGGCAAGCATGCTCCTTGAGTCATTGCATTTAATATCTATTTATGCATTTAAAGTTTTTTTTTGTAATTTAAGCAGATAGCATTATCAGTATCAAAACTACGTCTAGTACATCACTCTGGCATGATAATTTAATGGTGAAATCTAATTATGTAACAGCTGAATTGTCTATTTTCTCTCCTTGTTCAGGACATGGGAGCTGATGAGTTGTCAGAGTGTGTGCAGGACTTCTACCAGAACCTCTCAGAACGCCTTCAGACTCAGTTTAAAGGTGCTGCTTCACACTCAAGACGAATCGGCTACAAACAGTGACTGTCAATAACATTATACCATTTTATAAGACCTTTTAATTCTATGTCTTTATACTTGTGTTTGTAGGTTCGACAGATCATGTCGAGAGTGTTATGGATGAAGTAGAGAAGTACATGATGACTCGTCTCTACAAGGAAGTCTTCTGTCCTGAAACCACAGATGATGAGAAGAAAGACCTGGCCATTCAGAAGAGAATCAGGTGTGCAGACAATGGAAGCACTATGCAATCTGTAAAGCTGGTATATTAAGAAGAATAGAATAGTTACTGACATCTTGATTGTGTGTGTGATTTTTTTTTTTTATTTTGTTTTTTTATAGAGCCTTGCACTGGGTCACCATTGAGATGCTGTGTGTTCCTGTAGATGAGGAGATTCCAGAGGTTTCTGACAGTGTAGTCAAAGCCATCACAGGTTTGTCTCATGCTGGGTTATTTTATTAGAGGACTTCACCTTGTCCTTATTATCTTGGTGATACAGATCCAATAAGATTTTCCATGAATTCTTACCTGCATACATCTTTCCATTATTCCAGATGTGATCGAAATGGATTCCAAGCGCGTGCCCAAGGACAAACTGGCCTGCATTACTCGCTGCAGCAAGCACATCTTCAACGCCATCAAAATCAGCAAGAAAGAGGCTGCGTCTGCAGACGACTTTCTCCCCACGCTCATCTACATAGTGCTGAAAGCAAACCCTCCGCGACTGCAGTCCAACATCCAGTACATCACCCGATTCTGCAACCCCAGCAGACTCATGACTGGAGAGGATGGCTACTACTTCACTAATCTGGTAAGAAAATTAGTACACGTTTGCTCGCATGTGTGCGATCGATCAGTTCTTGTGAGAGTCGTCAGTCGTCTAGTCAAGTTGTGGTGCTGGTGCTGACAAGTGTTTCTATTATTTTCTCTGACCCATTTATATCTGGAGGGTAGGTTTAGTAACGGAAACACCGTTAAGTACTGTTTAACAGCACTGCAAAATGCGTCCTCCACAATAATCATAAAGTCCAATTAACACCTCCTTAGAGCAGTTGACGCCTTCATGAAAGAAGAATTTACTTCAGGACTGTTGTATTTGAGTGTATTAGTTTCATTATTTGTAGGTAATAAACTACTAACGACTGCAACTAAGTATATAACATGAGCAGTAGTTGTCAGACTTCAGTAGCAGTCCAGCTCATGTAGAAATTCATGTTTGTAGTAGCTGAAGCATTTCAATAGACTGTGATGAAATGTAACCACAAGACTTGCCAGTGTTTTGTGTAATATGTCTTGTGTCTTTATTTTAAAACCTGTCTTCGCTGTGCTGCTGTTCCTGTGTTTGGATGGCAAAGTGGGAAAAGACAAATTGAGTTAACTACAGCCTCAAATTACTTGGAATATATTGAACATTCTTTAAAGCAGTTTTGGTTATCTTAAGCCTTTTTAGAGAGACACATTGGAGAGATTACAAGAAATGAGTGGACAGAGAGGTAGGGAATTAAGGTAACAAAGGCCCACGATCTCCCACAAAGGCTATTGTTAGGCTCTGAATCCTCTGAATCCAACTTGCGTGTAAATTTATTTTTTGAAGTCTTAGAAGTTTGATTGGTCAGCGATTGCTTTCATTTTTAAATTTTTGTTAGCATAACAGGACTCCAGACTAACTATTGCAATGATAGCCCTGGTGTGACCAACTTTCTTATGTGGTTAGACCTCCCCCCTTGTCACAGGAAAAACACATCACTTCCTGAACATGTTCTTATCGATAGACACTGCAATTTACCAATGTTCCCTAAATACCCCACATTGCAGGCTGCGGTGTGGGACCAAAAATGACTTTGAAAAGAGTAACCAGGGCGTTCTGATGTCAGATTTGTCCAAGATGAAACCAAGTTGTTTTTTTGTTCTTTTTAATCTACTGCTCTCTGATCATCATGTGTCTGTGTCAGACTTCTCTCTGTCTGCCTCCTCTTCCCTCATTTTCTTTGAAAATAATCAGCTACAGATCACTTTAACCTTTAACACACATGAACTAAACAGCTTGTTTGACGCAGCAGGTAGAGCCGCCAAGGTTATTGAAGTACTAGTTTCCACCACTGTGGTTTACGCAGTAGCAGCCTGCGGTTACAGCGACATGATAAAAGGTCACTGATCATCATGCATTTGCACTTTCAAAAGTTCACTCTCAAAAAAGGTTGCAGTCTGGAGTCCTGCATAAATTTATGATGTTCCCCGCTCTATTTGGTATGTGAAAGTCAAGAAAGTTTATGAACTCCTCCCTTGGCATTGATTAAACCCCTAAAAACTCCTCTCTCTTCATCAGAATTACATATTTAGATTTTTTTTTCAACAAAAATTATTCTTTAATGTCTGACAATAGGTTAAATTTAACTGCACCTTTGCCTCCTTTAGAATGGTTGGATCTATGAAATACAGATTAGCCCCTGCTTCTATCTCCCCCAACCTTTCTGCCATCCAAGCTGACTGCTCGCATTCGACTCTGCTCAAACATTGTAAAACTACTCCACACAGTGGCAAATTGTAGTATCGGAGTACTTCAAACATACATGAATGAATTAGAAACTGATTCTGAAGAAGAACAATGACACAGAAAGTTCCACTCTACAAGCTGGCAAGACTGGTTCTTTATGTTTGTTCTGTATTCTACCCTGTCTATTTAAATCTGTGTTTTTGAGACTGTCATCAGTAAAGAACACTTTCAAGATTTAAAGGCTCAGTCATGGTGTTACTTTCTTATTTTTGTGCTGATACGTCTTTTAGCATTTAAAAAGAACAACAAGAAGATCAAAACACTTGATTTTTACTGGAGGACAAGATAACAAAAAGATGACTGTTGTCACAGATTGAGGACCTCCATAGTTGAGATTTCCTTGTAATGACCCTGTAATTCCCCTCTCCACAGTGCTGTGCAGTGGCTTTCATTGAGAAGCTGGACGGCCAGTCTCTGAACCTAAGCTCTGAGGAGTTTGAGCTCTACATGTCGGGCCAGGCATCCCCCCACTGGCCACAGGCCTCTGGAGCCTCATCCTGCTCCCCTGGTAGCGCCGCTCTCAGTCAGGTCCACAAACGGCTGGACCTGCTAACTGGGCTTGGGGAAAGGCAGGAGCGGGTCATGGAGAAGGCTCGGCAGCTGGAGAGTGACCTCATTGACTGGACGGATGAAGTGGAGCAGAAGGTGCAGAGCGTCCTGGAGAGCTTTCCACCGGAGACACCAGCCCCTGCTGCCAACACGGCTAGCGGGACGACGTCCGCAGCATCATCAGCAATCGACTCGGATAATGTCGAGAACGAGCTCCTGCCTCCACCGCTGACACCTCAAGTGTTTGCTGGTTGATATGAAGAGTTCTACTCCACAGAAATCCTCTAGAGGCTTTACTCCACCCTCTCCCTTTTCCCTGCTGCTCGTATGCACATACAGCAGCTCTCTTATACAGAAACTGTCTCTGTTCCATCCATCCAGGAACCGTTTGGCATTTTGAGAGGTGCATTTATTCACTTTCTTGCAGAGAGTTAGATGAGAAGATTGATACCACTTTAGTGTCTGTACGTGAAGCTGCAGTCAGCTGCTCTTTAGCGTAGCTTCGCATAAAGACTGAAAACAGGAACAAACGGCTAGCTTGCAGATGTTACAAAATTGATCTACTATCCTTTGAAAAACTCACAAGTTACCACATCATATCTTGTTCTAATTCGTGAAAAAAAAAAGACAAGTGACTTCTGTTTTCATATGGCTCATTGAGCTAATAGGCGCTAGGATAGCTGTTTCCAGTCTTCTTGCTAAGCTGAGCTGAGAGTGTCCCGTCTGCAGTTTCATACTGTATTAAACTGAGAAATGTGTTGGTGGTATTGACCTTCTCATCCACACAAAAGCAAATAAGCGTATTTCCCCAAATGTCAGACGATTTCGGTAACATGAGGCAACATGAGGTGGAGTCCTGGAGGGAAAGTACACTCCAAGTATTTTGTCCAGAGAGGAAAGTCAATGATCTGATGCAGCAACTTCTGTTACAGTTTATGATAAGCAGAAAAGAAGAATATACAAGTATAATGAAGGTGCTCTTAGGTAGGGGAGACAAAAGTTTTAAAAAAAAAGATAAAGATTGCAAGTCACTCCCCTGGCAAATATGTTAAAAAGCCGATACTGAGATGGCTGAAATTCTAAAAAAAAACAACAAAAAAACATAGACAATACGAGTACGTGTTAAAATAGAACTTCGATAATCCAGCATGCTCTGACTGTTGCTTTCTACGAGTGAGGCGGGCCGGTAAACCGCCTGGAGGCATCCTGCTGAGATGCCCAGATGACCTGAACTGGCTCCTTTTCAAGCAAAAGAAGCAGAATAACTCCACTCTAAGCTCTTCCCAGACACATCAGTTTGTCATCCTCAGTACATTATTTTTTTTTTAATCACTGTTACATTTCTGCATACAGGATAAATGACTTGAGTTTTTTAAAAAACATGTTTCAGTTGTTAAACACGACTTTTCAGACAAGGTTTTTGTCCTCATGTTTTGTTGTATGTCTTCAGGTGTAAATGAATTAGTTCAGGTTCAAAGTGACACGTAGAACCCAAGTAACACCTAGCAAAATAACAGGAGTTTTCAGTAAATTATGCTTTGAGATAGAGGACATGAGGAAATGAGAATGACTCCACTTCCTCTCCCTTAAACTCCCTTCCAGCTCATTCTTGTGATTTGTGCTGTATTTAGTGTGTTATTTCCTGCCCTACGGAGAAAATACCAAGAGAGAAAGAGTGAGTGTGTGTGTGTGTGTGAGGCGGTTGTGCATGTGGCCAAGTGTGTGTGCGTGCGTGCGTGTTGCATGGAGATGCTCCGTTGTTGTCGATAAATCAAAAAGTCCTCCAGTTGTGCGTGCGGATGTTGTAGTCTTGTTTCCATGGCAGACCTCTCATTCCAGTCATAAGCTGGATGTACAGAAGTGATTTTATTTTTCTATAGAGTGACAGGTATCAATTCTTCTGGATGCAGTAGGAGACATTAATCCTGTAATATTTACAGTAGTTACCATTGCTTGGAGACATGTTGTATGAATTCTAATGATTGATTAGTCTCAAGAAGGTGTCGTGAGCATGTCTACTAAAAGAACAGTTTTAGGTGAATTATTTTTATCGTCATTGTTTTGCTCTGACAGAGCTGTTGGATTACAAGAAAACAAAGATGATGCTGTTTCCTTGTAAACACAAAACATACAAATCCCTCCCGAGCCTACATTTGCTTTACTAGTGCAGAAGAATCAACACAACTCAGTTTAACTTATTTTTAAAAGCACTTTTGTTTGATTTTAAAGGTCTTATTTCAGATCGAAGGAATGACAGTGAAAACAGTGTTGCCGCACAGATTTATTTCAGCTGGCTTTTGGTAGTCTTAAAGTGAAGGAATTGTTTGGAAAAGTTGTATGTTTGATAAAAATGCGAAAGGCACATTTTTATTTTTTCCAGTTCCTCATGAGCTAAGTTTTTCTTATGTCGCTAGACTTGAATCTTTTCGTTCGCATTTGCAACAGTATAGTCAGTGTGCAGTTGCTGTCAAATATTAGTTTGAGAAAAGCCTTTTAATGCAAATTTAAACTATAGCTTGAATAACTTCATATTGCACTGTATGCAGAAGCCATTTATCAGGTGTTTAAAGACATCATCTTTGTTACCTTTTAGGTTTGTTCTTGTATCACATGGGAGAAATTAACTCAATACTGTCTTTTATTTAAAAGTAACTTATTGGGACAGTATTGGTATATTTGCATCTATGGGTGTGTGATGATTAATAAAACTGGAAAATGCACTCGTGTAGTTCCTGTTTATTGTGTTTCACATGACTGTACCGAACATGATTTTGCAAGTTTGGATTAAAGAAATAGTTGACTCAGAATAGTGGAGAAAAAAAAAAGATTAAGCAGGAAAGTGGCAGGCCTGCGGTTTGTGAACTCATGAAGTACTTTCAGGTTTTATGAGTTCATGAATAAAAATCTAAATTTCATTGATACTCAGAGAGGAGATTAGTGTGTGACATGTGTTACTCTTTAAAAAAAAAACTTTAAAAGCTACCAAAAAGATTGTCCTGACATACAGTTGTGAAGAAAAGTTGACATACATTTGTTTGTCATGGCTGTTGGCTTTCAAGTAACTCCTGTGATGAAATCACTGAAATACATGTGTCTTTGTCACAACATACAGTCTTTCAATTTGGTTCTTTCATGGATTTATTATAAATCTTCTGGAAATAAGACAAAATTTACATACAGTTATGCTAATATTTGAGTATAATAATACTAAGAAAAATCAATAAAACTATGCTATGTGTGCAACTTTTACAGTTATAATATTATGTTCTTATATTATTCAGAGCAAAAATGCCTCCCGGCTTAACAGTTAAGTTTATAACAAGCAATTATTTAGCCTTACTACTATATTGTAAAATGTGATTTGTTCTATGATCTATTTTTTTGTTACTGAAGTTCCCCTGTTTCTTTCTGGTTATGAAATTTCCAGAAATAAGACATATTTCCTATTGAATTTAGGAAATTCCGATGAAATAAAGGGTGAAAACAACTGAGAAGGTTGTAATTTGGAAATATATAAACCTTGATAATAGGGGAAGAAAATAGGAAATTACCAAATCACTTCCTTCTACTGTAGCATAAAATATACACAATTTATATTATTTGCTTGATATAAGAAAAAATGCTCTCTGAGTGTGCTGTTCATCCTTGTTCAGTGTGCTGTTTTTGATCAAAGAAATCTTCATTGGACATGTTTGTACACTGCTGACATAGTTTACAATCTAAAAAAAACCCGTCAGAAATGAGGGGACAGCATTTTTGGAAAAGGGGATGTCCTGTGAGATGAGTTTATACTCAGAAAAAAAACACTTTCGTTTCCTTCTTTTTTAGGAATAAATGAATCAGTTTAGGTATCGTTTTCCTTTAAACAGAACACGCACAATGGACACGGTCGCCTCCCTCCTCGGTGAGTTTTTGTCATTTCTGAACTCTCAGTTTGACATGTTGATTGATAATATCTGCAGCAAGTGTCGTTTATCCTTGATTTTATTTTCTGTTTCAGTTCTTTTAACGTTGCCACGGCTTGTGGTACCTGAAGGTATGTGTCAAATATTCCAATATTTCATTTTTAATTCCACTTTGCAGAGCATACTGTTAACATTCATAACATATACAGTACTACATTAATATATATTTTAACTTGGTTTGTCTCTGTAGCTGCCCATGTGACCTCGTTGAAAGCCGTTGTTGAGGTAGTGGGAGACAATTCGAGGATCTTTACGGGGGAAAGCATCCGACTGAGATGCAGCATTCTTGGTGACGGCAGGTCTGTCTGGAATTACCTTTGGTTCAGGGGAGCTGAGCAGCTCCCGTATTCTGGGCAGGAGTTTAGTCTGTGGAATGCTGAAGTTAAGGAGAGTGGGAAATTTTCCTGCCAAGGAGAGAGGGACACAGCTATAGGGAGCATACATACTGCACAAAGTCAACCTGTGGAGATCCACGTGGACGGTGAGATCTTTTTTTTTTTTTTTTTATCTGAATATTTGGAAATTAACTTGATTTGCATGTCAGGCTTATTATTTTTCTTCCTTGGCTTCTTCCTCAGTATTGGACTGTGATTTCTCCTCTAACACGTCTGAAACAGCTGCCACTAACCTGATTTGTTATTGTGACTGTCAATATAAGACTAAGCTGTCATTCAGAGGTAACTTTCTTCTTTGTGATCTTTGTTCAGGAGGGTGGGCTATCCTACAAGTCCCACCTCACCCTGGCCTCGTTGGAGACACCTTGAAGGTGACCTGTCGCATCCGAGGCAACCCCCCAGCCCACGACATCATTCTCTATAAAGATGGCGTTGAAGTAATGAGGCAAAACGTAATCAAGCCACATTTCTACCTGACCAACCTGACCCTTGAGGACCAAGGAATGTATTCTTGCAGGGCATCTTGGGACATAAGGAGACGCACCCACTCCGTAGTTTCAGTTGCCAATCACGTGAAGGTCTTAGGTGAGTTTATTGCTTATGCTGAATTTGATTGTGTTGATGTTAAAAGTCTACCAGCTCCTCTAAAGCTCACTTATTAACACATAGAAATTGGAAAAATGACAGTTTGTGGTTGTGGACTATTTCTTTTCTGTTTGGTTCTTTTGTAGAGTCTTATTGACTTTTGGAAGTCAAGAAATAGTCCTACATACTGTTAAAATGCCTGTAAAACCACAAATCATTGTTTGCACACCTACTCTGATTGATAAACATATAACCAGCAGCTATTCAGGTTTCTGGGAACATGAAGGAAACAGCTGGCTCTGTCCAAGCAAAATCCTTCAACTGCTTTTCAGTTTTTGTATGGATGAAACAAAATACGACATGTTGATGTGTGAGCTTTAGAGGTGCTAGTAAGAGGATTTTGTTACCAGACCTACATCAGACTCAGCTGGGCAAGTTGTTTCAAGTCTTTAGGCCAAGCTCAAGTGTCATATTTTTCTTGCAAATACAAATTTTGTGCAGCTGTTCTCCGTCTTACATACTGTTATCTCATACAATAGTGAAGAAATTATTTTCTAGACATAATTGTAAACTATTCCAGTAATGTTTTTTCTCCTCTGGCTCTATCTCAGAGGTTCTGTCACAGCCTGTGTTGGAGATCGTTACTGACGATTACCACAGTCAAGTAAATAAGATGAAGCTCATCTGCCATGTCCAGTACAACCTTCACGCTCCTGCACCTCCGATACACTACTATTTCTACAAGAATAACAACCGACTGGGAACAGCCACCTCTGAAGGCCATGACCTGGTCAAACGGACTCCGGGGCTGTACAGCTGCAGGGTCAGGGTGCCTGAGTTGGGCCTGTCGAGGTGGAGCGAGGCCAAACGCTTTGGGCAAATGACAGGTACATAAAAGTAAATAAAGCTTTGTGTCCTAGAGTAAAAGTTCATTGCCTAATCCCCTGAATTATGAAACCTTGCGCAGCAGTTGCACAGTTTTTGAGGTCACCTTGTCTCTGATCCAATAGGACCACAGATTATGGTGCCACCACGTCCCAGATACCAACAACCACTAGCTCCCCCAGTGTTATCCCTCCTGCCTCCTGCAGCTCAGCCAACAGCAGCCCAGCTTCCCACTCCTACTCTTACTCAGCGTACAGAGAAGAGCTCCCGGTCATCAGAGCATCCTCTGAAGCCTTCACAACCAGAGCCAACCACTCTGCTAACTGCACTCCAGTCTGCCAAGCACACTACCATCTTCCTGCCTCCTGCAGTTCAGTCAACAACAGCCCACCGATCCACTCCAACTCCTACTTTTATTCAGCATACAGTGGAGAGCATCCAGTCCGCAAAGCGTCCTCTGCACTTTTTTAGCCATACTAGCCCAGAGCCTGTCAATGAAATCCATGAACGTTTGTCTGGAGAATCTGACGAGAGTGAGTCCTTGTGACTTATCTGGGATTTCAACAGAGGCTGTCCTCATAAAATAAATTATCCTGAATCAGAGTTATCAAGTATGACTGCTATATCTTTAGCTTTCTGATATAAATCATACCGGGCCATTATACTGCCATTGCACACTTATGATTGTGATTAACTGTGTAATAATCGTTTTTCAGATTCTAGAGTATCAACTTCATCATGTCATCTGTAGGAAACTAGCTGGAAATGTCATACTTCAAAAGCAATAAAACATTTGATAAACAACATGTACTACTTGACTTTATTTTCAGTGAAAACAACTTCTTTTTACAACTCTATTATACAGCAGTACATCTTACATATTAGAAATACTGGTATGATAACACATCAGTAGATATTATATTTCACCATTGCAGAAGGGTACAGTCACTGTTGCCAGATATACACTGAGATTATTACAAAAGCTACTGACTACAGCGGCATTCTGTGCATTCTTAGCACAAATATATCTACGTCTCAGTTTTTGCAGTTAGATACAGACCCACTAGGTTACCATAGGTGACGGTGCAGCTAGAAAGGAAGCAGTGGTTAAAGTGTGAGAGAGAAGTAATAAAACAGACAGAAAAAGAAAACAGGAAGGTAATAGGGTGTGAAAGAAACGGTCGAAGGTGACATTAGGTCACTTCATTTACCTGACAGAACAACTGAAGGCATTGATCAAATACTTTACAGGCATTGGTTTAAAGTAAAGGTTAAGGTTAGATATATCAAGCAGCGTTTAGAACTGAAGATACATTTCATATAAATGGCAAAACTCCTGCACACTGCCTTGCTTACTGCTAATATATTTATCAGCAATGCTTTGGTCTGCAAGTGTATGGATGAGTTTCATGTATGTACATTGATGATGAGCAACATATTTTGTTTTCATCAGAAATCTTTTTATTTTTTTAGAATTTTCTTGTTCTTTGGCCATTTTCCAGCTAAAGTTGATGAACTGTTGTAGTGCCCTATGTGTCATAACAATGTAAGATTCCCATTTATGATTAATATAGCCACTTTTTGGTAGTATTTGTAATATTTTGAGTCTAAATGACTTCATGATGTGATTTTTTTTATATCGTTTTGGCACATGATAGCATTTTACAATGTTGTAATCTATTATAACAATTCAAGATTCCCATTTACAATGAATATTCCCATATGTTGTTAGTATTTGTCATTTTTGTAGTTTGTTTTTTTTTCTATATTTTGTTTTGAAGCCTGCTCCTACTGCTCCTAACATCTGGATGACATTGTGTTTTTTTGTCTCCTGATGTTTTGCTCATCAGTTGACCACTTTTTTTTTTTTCTTTTTTAATCTGACAAATTACACAATGAAGGTGACGTGAATCACAATGTTGTAAACAATGATATTCCTCAGTAATACAAGAGTGTGTGGGTGGTTTTCTAATTTTTATTCAAAGAGTAATGGGTAAAACAAGAAGTTAGGTGATAATACAAAATGTACAGGGCAGCTTCTGAGCAGCTCTTAGGCACAGTGTAGCACCACCAGCATTTGGCCATTGGATCTGCACAGTAGAAGAAGAGATTGTCAGTGTTGTAGCACTACTGAGCATCAGGCCTTGTCTGAGTAAAGCAGAAACCCAGAGAAGATGCTGTCGTCCTCACTGCTGGCGTACACCCCATTCCAGTCTCTGAGCGTCTCCATCCACACCTGATCACCTGCTGCCAGCCGGAGCACCACCAGAGTGGACGCCTGGTCGATGTCTTGACCGTACAGAGAGTCCCGCGTCCTCACTCGCCGTGACCCGTTCACCACCAGTGTGGCTCGCAGTGGCTGATTACGCACCGTGATGTGGAAGGAGAAGACATAAACGCCAGGGTAGACACATGTGAAGCTGTTGGAAGTGACGTTGAAGTGGTTCTCTTCGTTGTAGAAGACTTTGTCGAAGCGGATCGGGAAGCCAGAAGGAGGAAAGGACTTTCTTGGAGAGATGCCTACACTGAAGGCAGAGCGTTTCTGGGGAACCCCCGATCCTTTAGCACCTTTGAATCCACGAATGCCTCGATCACCTCTCATGCCAGGGTAACCTCGATCCCCTTTTGGTCCAGGCATCCCTCTTATGCCTTGTGGTCCCTGAAGCCCTCTGACCCCTGGTTCTCCTGGAGGTCCAGGAGGGCCCTGATCCCCTCGGATGCCCACAGGCCCTGGGGCGCCATGCTTGCCATTCAGCCCTGGAATTCCCATCCCTCCTGGGATTCCAGGTGAGCCAGGATCCCCTCGTTCACCTTTCTGTCCTCTCTCCCCAAATGAGCCACACTCCCCTTTATCCCCCTTGTCTCCTTTAGGCCCTTGTTGAACTGCCAGTCCTGGAGGTCCAGCTGGCCCTTCTTTTCCCGGTTCTCCTTTATCCCCAGCCGTCCCATTGTGGCCAGGTTCTCCTTTGTCCCCACTATCGCCTTTGAAACCTGGCAACCCTATTTCACCTTTTTCACCTTTGTAGCCAACATCACCTGCAAGGTAAGGGAAACTACGTCAGAACGAGTAAAGTCAACTTTTCACAATCTAAAAGAATTCAATGACCACCTAAACAGTGTTGTACCTTTTTGTCCTGGTTTTCCAGGAATTCCTGGTGAACCAGTTATCCCACTGTTTCCTCTGTCACCTTTATCCCCTGTGAAATTTACACAAAACAACAATGTGAATATTTCTCTTTTAACATGAGATACTTAGGGAGGAAGAACTAAATGTTTAACCGACCTACAGTGCACAGCTTTAGGGAGCTCATGAGTCAGGAGGCCTCAATGTCACAGCCTTTATTTGACCTCTGTTATTATTCATTTCTTCATGAAAAATCAAATGTAGTTGTATGTCTCATGCCTATGCCTATACTTCTAACAACAAATGACCTCATCCTTGTGTGTGGTCAGAAGTCTGCTCTATTGGAACCACACCCAACTGTGATTTCCTGGAGTACATTTCTGGATCAGCATGATGAGAAGTTAAAACAGCGGAGGTCAGCAAAACAAGACTTCCACCGAAAAGTTCTTTCTTAAGTAATACACTTAAAGTAACCTCATACCTTATTCTTTATAGTTTTTTCTAATATCTTGTACAGTATGCTTAAGTACGTCATATGGTATCTAAAGAGAAGTGAATCTGCTGCATCAGGAGGCTTTGAGAAAGTTCAGGGTTTGTTTTGTGGTCGTATTGTAAGTTAAGATGATCCATTCACCCTAAAAAGTAATTCAAGGGATCTACTTCCACAACTTAATTCAATGAATTGCAAGATAAAAGTTTTATTTTATTTCATTTTATTTTGATAAACCTTTAAAGTTGCAAACATTATTTTTATGGGTTGGGTTTGCATAATAATATTAGTAATTGTATCAACTTAATTTTGTGTGTAATTTCAACTTAAATGTTTGCATCGATTGATTTAAAGCTAATTGGACGTTGAGGTAACTGAATAAAATTAGCATAAAATGAACATGCCTGAACAATTTCAGATCAAAGAGAAATATACAGTATTATTATAAAATGCTTTGTAATAAACCAGCTTAGATGTGTATTCAAACCTATTATGCTTACCCCTGTCTCCTTTTAACCCCATTGGACCACTCACACCAGGTGGTCCGGGTAAACCAGCTGCTCCTGCAAGGCCTCTATCACCTGGTGGCCCTATTAAAATAAAAATTAGTTCAAAACACACAAACAAACTCATTAAATATATTTACACCTTATCAGTGAGTCTGCTACCTGCCAAGCCTCTGTCTCCCTTTGGGCCCCTGGGACCCCTCTCAGGTGGACAGCACTCACAGAAGTTAAAGTAACACTCATTGTAATCCAGGGTGTAGTTCTCTGGGCCGGCACCAGGGGGCTCAGTGCCCTCACTGTAGTGCTGTGGAAAGACATGACTTGGGTAAGTGGTCCTCTCTGTGGTTGGCTCCGGGTGTGGCGGCACAGGATTTGCGGTCGCCACTATCTTGAGAGTCTTTGGCATGCTGGTGGTGACGGGGCTGTGCATGGTGATCGGAGAGACTGGCTTCTTGGTGTACTGGTACTTTGGTTTCTGTGTAGTCTTGGCTTCAGCGCAGGAGACCACAGCGAGCGTAACCACAACAACAACCACAAGAGTCGAGTGACAGGAGATAATCCTCATGGTTGACTGGGATCTGAAAAACACATCAAGACACTGCTTCTGTTTGTCTGCACCAATTTCAATTTCCATCTCGTGTAGTACAAAAATAGCACATGCGCAGTCACAGTTCACTGCTGCAAAACACTGATGTAGGAAATATGAGCGAAGATATCTCTGCTCTCATCACTTCTATCATTTCCATGCATATATTCCATATCTATTTGTAATTTTCCCCCCCCCACACTTTTTGTTCCTCTATGTTGACCTCTGTAGGCAGTCTCAAGTTACAGCTAAATTTTTTCCCAGCCTGACGTTCAATCGAAGTTCATTTCAAATGTCAGATTCCTGTCTCTGGTCATTTATCAGCATCTCAAGTGTTGAACTAGAATGAAAACCGGCAGTTTCCTAAATCACGATCTCAGTTTCTTAAATCACAAAGTTCCGTTAACTATACGCCAACAAATGCACATGAACTAACGGTCTTATTAGGTTGCTTGTGACGGTGAGGTGCAACTCTCCGACAATATGTATTCAGCAAATTTCACAAGACTCACCCAGTTATGCATAAGTAGTACGGTCATTTATCCTCTCTTGCGATGTCTTGGAGGCAGCACCAGGAGCTCCAGGTCTCTCTGATATCTCTGCCAGCCTTGGGTGAAAGAACATCCCCACCAATGAGGGTATTCGCTGGAAGCACAGGGGGAGGTCTGAAATCCCACTATGGCAGGCTGGAGCTGACCCAAGGAGAACCACTGTGCTGTGGCCCATTCTCTTTAGCCCCGTTGTGTAGAAAGGTGCTTTTGTGACACGGGATACAGCGCCCGCCAGGAGCACTCCCTCGCTGCAAGCTAGGCAAGGAGCAAAGGCCGTGGGGCAATGGGTCACCCGATATGGGAGGCATTCCTCCAACGTCCAACCTGCTACCCAGGCTCTTACGGTGGGACAAAGCCAAGCAAAGAGGAGTCTGTGACAGAGGCCAGGGCACTACAGCGGCCTTTTTTTTCCCCAAGCTTAGGTTTGGACAACACTCTTCAAGTAACTGCAAGATGCAAGCTGTTTTGATTTTTAGGGTCCGAGCACACCAGTGCAAGGACCCTATTGTAACCGTTGTGATTATTATTA